ATATGTGTGTCCATCTTCTCACTGTTTCAGTAAATGTGTCACCACTTAAAAACACAGCATATTAACTACACTTTGAGTCCATAAGATAGATAGCGCTGAGAGAGACCAAGAACTAAACAGTATGGAGGAGGAGGATCAACAGCCAATTGAGATGGGGCCTGTGAAACTATTGGGGACGGGGTATATTTTCACCCATGCCCCAACCCCATGGGCAAAGGGCAGTAATGCATTGCCGTGGTAACCCGCGGCAAAGGTGTGTTTTACTGGAGATCACAAGATCTCTACTCCACAGTCTGCAGCTCTGCACTCGATGGAGCTGCAGGTTGAGGCTCCTGCCGACTACGGAGGGACCCCGCACCTGGTGACATACAGGACAAGCCGAGGGCCGACACCTCAAAGTTCCGCCAGGAGCCATGACCCTACCGGGACCAAAAGACGAGCCAGCCCTGACTTCACTTATTCAAATTCAAAGTGAATTTCACAAGACCGAAATTGGAAAAACTCCCCTTAGTTGACTATGTTTTGTGTTCACCTACTTTGCCCTAAAAATAGAAATTCACTTTAAATTCCAGACAATTCACATTTAAGTGAATAATCCTGTTACTTGCTGACAAACCATTCCAAATTATCAGTTTGTTTGGGGTGTTTTCACTTTTGAAATGCAATGCCAAAAAAATCAAAACACGTTGACTGAGAAGGCGTCAACAAAGGAAGTTAACAAGTTGGGTCAAAGACATTGATGCTTATAATAGATAATCATGTTCCTCTCCCAAATTGGTCCTCTTATTACTGCAGAACTGAAACCTATTACAAAATTAAGAGAACACTATAACTGCAGATCTGAAACCTATTACAGAATTTAAAAGACATATATATAAAAACTGGTGAGGGGCTGACCCAAGTGGTCCTATGGACGAGCCTCCACTGCTGGTAACTACATTTTCTTATGACAGTGGTTAAGGTCATTGTTCATATTTAGTGAGTGTATACAGACTTTTAAAACTCCATAATAGGACAGCTGGATAATTTAGAGACGTTTTAGTGCTAGTTGCATTTTTTTTTCAAGCTGTAGAAGAGCTATCGGGCATTGAATATTTTCATTTTTCTTATATCCTAAAGGAACCCACATTAGGGCATTTTAATGAGTGTAATTAAATACCAGACTGCTGACAATATCATTGATGGGTACGTACTTTTGATGTTTCCTCTCTGATGAAGTCAATTTCCCATAGTTGAGAACTTTTATGCTGAATCCTGGTGTTGACAGAGTAAAGGGTTAATATTTAGGAGCCTACCAGCATCAAAGTTTTAGGAATGTTCCCAGGTATGCGGTAAACAAATTCACACTCACAGAACACTGTCATTTATTACAGAGAGAAAAAAAGAGGACGTGCAGAATGTTTTGTTTAGCAGATGTTCTGCATTACACCTGCCTGTTACTCTGCATGAGGAAGGAGTTGATAAAAAAAAAAAAAAAGTATAATATGTGTCAAATGTCTGCATTAAAGGGATACTGTAAATACCATAACCAATATGGCTGACAGAAGTGGTTATGGTGCCAGGATGGCCCTGTCAGAAAAGTGTCAAATTGTTTAACACTTGCCTGTCTCTGTTCGGTGTCAGCCGTTCTTCTTGTCTGAGCTGGTATGTCTATGATTCTACATTGTCATACCAACTCACACCAAGCTGGGACTTTCTCCATTGGTTGTTAAATTCTGCTGAGCCTTTTCTGTTTGCTGAAAGAACTCAAACAGAATGTAAATGTATGCAGGGAATTTTAAACAAAATCGACAAATCAAAAGATTTTTGCACAACTAAGTATCCATTTATTAAAAAAAATCTTATGCATTATAATTTATCCCTTTGCAGGTAAATAACATGTAAATTAGATTACCCCTCAGCAACGTCATACAATATGCATTACTAAAGGAATACCAAAGCACGCAGCATTTTGGGGTAGCTATCCAAGCACGCATGTGCACACCTAAAGCATCATGGCGGAGAAGCTGCCCACATTATGGAAGTCCAGCATAGGTAAATTGCTTTATTTCCCCAATAAACACTGCAGTAACATTTACTAAGGACAGGGAACAAGGAACCGTCACTTCCAGTTTCTTTGAAAGTATTGCATGACTTCTTCCATAGAATTCAATAATTGGGAAGTCAGATTCCCAGTAGGCGGAATGGCAGGATGAAGATATCACTTGCTAACAAATCTCCCTGGGATATAACTGCAGTTATGCTCAGTCAGTCATTTACCGAGCTTGAACAGAAATTTAGCTCACAGCATCTCTAACAGCAAGTCTAGAAAACTATGGCAGTATATCTGGAGAGGGTGTTTAGCCAAAGTCACAGATTGGTTACCATTTCACCATCTGTATAAAGGACATATAATACAATGTATGTTACGGCTGCTTATTATCCTAGGCTAAACTGTAATATGGATTTTTAAAAGCACACGAAAACACACAAAAATAATATTACAATCCAGCAATGGGTTATGTAAATCATAAGGCACCACAGCAATAACATGAAAATATGTACTTTAAATGTGTGTCTCACAGCAATAGAACTGTCAGTAATAAGAGCTACTTATAACTACATCACAGCTGGGCCAGATTAAGAGCCCATTGGGCCTGGTGCCGACAATTATGATGGGCCTAATTACAGAATGTTATTGACAGAAAGCACTAAAACAGTCATACCTCCCATGTAACTGGTGGAGATGGTGCTGGAGGGAAACTCAAAGGATACAGCTATCAGAAAACACATACCCTTTGCTAATCTCTTGTTTTCAAGTAAATCCATACCCCCTAACAGCAGTGTCCGGTGAAGCAGGATTTCAGGGGGCGGGGTAAAAGAGTGGGCCACTGATGTGAGTCACGTAACCAGAACCACCCAAAGGGACACACATTCCCAAAAAGGCATGAATGCACGTCAGGCTGCCTGCCAATTATGAAGGATGACCAACCAAGGGCATACTGTGCAGACAGCACCCTGAGCTTGGCATAAATGTGTCTAATGATGCGCTTGCTCCACGCTTTCTAAGGACTGTCCCCTAGCACTCGCTGACCCACTCCTCTCCTAACCTCCTTACTAGCAGGCAGAAGCTCCTGTTATACAGTCTGGGACAGAGGAAAGCTGTATGTTGTGAGTGTAGAAGAAAGGGAACATGTCACAGTGTTACAGAGATAGAAGCAACAAGAGCATTTGCATAGTGCGCAAAGTCAGCTTTACCTTAACTTATTTTATTGTCAGCAAGTCCACGCCAGTTTGGTTCCCTAACATCCCTCTTGAGTTTCCATACTTAAGCAAGAGCATGTGAAGAGTAGTAAAAAAAAATATATTTATATATTTATTTCTTTATTTTGTAAATCAATGAGCCTATTCCATCAGCCCCTATGTTAATCCAGCCCTGCATCACAGAGCTCCACAGACTTTGCTCTCAATCTTTCTATGTTGGTATAGTAGGAAGAAGGAAATCTTTTTTTGTGAAAAAAAGACTATTATGGAAAATGGAAAAAATGACCCACAGTCATTAATGAAGTGTGTGGACACGGAAGGTATTTGATTGTATATGCTGTCATTGAAATAAGCCAGAAAAAGAACCCTCTATTTCTTATCGAAAAGAATGTTAAAATTGGACTTTGGCCTCCCTTAAGCTGATTAGGGAGCATTTATTGTGATTTGGTTGTTTGGTGGTTTTATTTTGTTTTGTATATTAGTTTTTTTTTTAGATTATTACTTTATCATTGCAATATGATTATATGGGCTATATATGAATTAAAATATTATTTATGGTTATTTTGTTTTGTGTTTTAGTTTGTTCATGTGTATTTATAGTGTGAATTTAAGAAAATATTTATATGTATTTAGATGGTTATGGGTTTTAGGCTGTGCGGCCCATGCTATTTATCCCTTTATGATTCATTTACACTCCATGTTTCTATAAGAAATTAGCTGATTTTCTTTAGGTCCTTGTGAACTTGCATGGACTGGGCATATGTGAGCAATGGCAGATGGGTACAAAAAAAAATATGGGATGAAACGTGGTTCATGCCACGATTTTTGTGTTAAAGAGATTGTATGATCTCATAAGCACATATGAGATCAGTCTTTGCTTCTATTGAGGCGATATAACAATCTTTTTTGTTTGCTTTCGGTTACCTAGCAACAAGAATGGTTCATTGGTTAATTTATGAGCAGGATTACCGCCAGTGTGTACGTACTGGGAGCTATATAAGACATTTGAAAGTGGAAGATATTCACCTTCGATAAAGGCTCTAACATTGGGTGTTGGTTCAGTGGCTCCTTTCACTTTCTTAAAGGAACACTAGAGGGACGTAAACACATCTACATGACTAATATAAAAATGGTAAAATTATGTATTTCTTTTACCAGCACTCTCTTTTGTGTATTTCTGACCCTATAGTGTTAAAACCGCTATTTAGGTGGCTTGTGTATTTATGACCCTACAGTGTTAAAATCAACATTTAGGAGGCTTGCCCCACTTAAAAGGTAAGAAAACGTACTTTTTTACCAGTGCAGCATGGGTCTGCCGGCTTTGGCCCTGCTCCACATCTGCTGCCTTGGCTGGCATCATCAGAACTGATGATCTCAGCCAATCCAATGCTTTTCCACAGATTTCCCTTTAAAACACACTCATACATAATTATAAACACCAGATGCATCTCAATTTACCCAGTTCTTTATTTTGGGATTTTGCACAATCACATGTCAAAGCCACTTATTATAAGTAGGGATTGAAACAGAACAAAAGTAGTTTAAGGAAATAAGGAATATGAAAAATTTAATGCATGAAGAAAACTGACAGCATGCTTTAAAAAAAAAAAAAAATTCCAATTACAGGACAAAGTATCAGTTTAAATATATGATTTGCTTGAACTACAGAAAAATTGTGAGATATTTAAAAAAAAAACATTTTCGCAAAGTAATTTAAAGCAGACAATATTTGTATCAAAAGATATATATATATATAACTTCATGTGTCTTTTTATTAAATAAAAACATTTCAGAAGACAATTTATTTATATATTTAAGATAATTAATGGGAGATTTACACAGAGAAGCTCGTCTGATAAAAGAAAACGTTAATCAAAACAGTTTCTTGCACTTTATTAATATAATTCCCACTGTATTAACTTATTTAAAGTGTGAATGGTTTGAATAGATTGAAAATTGGTTGAAATGAGGTAAGGCACCATTATTTCATTATACACAGTGGGCGTGTGTTATGAAAAAGCATTAATAAATAACTGACCCATTGAATACAGGCTTTAAAAATACCATGAATAAATTGCGTATTTTGAAATCTGACACTAAATTGAGATTTGCTACTACATAAGGAAAGAAATACAAATGGTTTGAATTATCTAAGCTGTATCTACATGACTAATATAAAAATGATAAGAAATCATGTATTTCTTTGTTTCTAACTATTCATACAAATATATGATATAGAGGTTAACACGTAGGTATGTTGATATTTACACTAAAAAGTTCTGTTTTCAAGACATTTATGGCACATCAAAAATTAAACAAAAAATAATAATTTGTGACATAAATTAATCATAAATCGCACGCATAACATACATATGGAAAGCAATTAAAATGGGTAATCGCTACAAATTATACATTTATGGGTCCCATATCAACGAATTAATTAGTTAAAAAGATTATCTGTTGTTTCCAAATCGTCATACATGGTGCTAAGGCAGGAGAATAGGTACTATACATGTCTATATATTTACTGTATCTTTGGTCGTTTAACTGGAAGAGAGGAAAACATGTATAAAATATGGGACCAGCAGAATTTATTTATTATAGGTAATTGTTGCTGAAAAAAAACGTTGTGGTGCTTTAAAAAAAAAAAAAAGTGTAAACATCAGTAGAAATCCCACGTAAAAGTAAGTACTTATCACGGTGAAGGATCCATATTTCATAAAAGGATGATATTGTTTTGTTAAGCTACAGAGCAGCTCTCAAGACAGGCATTAAGCACCAAAACTAATGCGTTGAGAATAATCACTCATGAGTTAAATCGAGTTGAAAGCCAGGTAGTTGCTATAGTTACAGAGTAGCAAGAGTTAGCAACAAACGTAACAAGTTCCAATCTACCTAGATATCCCATTAAGTGCAACTGTAAACATTTGCTGTTTTCAAATCACTGTGTTAGTTTATAACTACAAATTCACAGCATTTCTCAACAATTAGCAGTTGTGGTAGCCTGATAAATATACCTGATTCATTTACTTCCCTACTATACACAAGCAGAAATTAAAATGAATCTTGCTGCACACAAATCAATAGTAAATATGTTCTCTTTAAACACATTAAGTTGACATTATGGGATAATTCCAGTTAATATTGTAATTGATCACTGTGGGTTTAAAGTCATGCATATGATGACAAAGACCCATTTTTCGCTTATCCTAAATCTTTAAGTTACAACAAAGCAACTCAAAAGGTGCATTAGAATTACGGATGAGTATAATACAAATAACCTGAATATTTTACACTAGAAGTTTGGAGTATTATAGAAACAGTGCATTTGATATCGCATGAAAGTGTAGACCAGAGTTCTGAGGGAGGGTTTTACGAGATCATTCTCTAGATTTCATCCTCAGAGTCTTCCTCTCGCTCTCGGGATTTTAGCAACTCCATCTCCAATGACTCGCCGTTCTTCATTTTTGTCTGGACCACCCTGGAAAAAAATGAACAGATGATATAATGGTATGTAATATTTTTAATCAGGTCCCATAAATATTAAAGGGATACTATAGTCACCATAACAACTACAGCTTAATTTAGTTCTTCTGGTGTCCACGGCCAGTCCCTGCAGGCATTTCAATGTAAACACTGTCTTTTCAAAGAAAAGGCAGTGTTTACATTGCTGTCTCGGGACACCTCCTGTGGCAGTCACTCAGACGGCTACTAGAGGTGCTTCCTGGGGTAGTGCTGCACAATGTGCACCACTGACGTTCAGCATCTCCACACTCTGCATGGAGACGCTGAACTTTCCCCATAGAGATATATTGAGTCAATGCATCTCTATGAGGAGGTGCTGATTGGCATGGCAGAGTTTTCCTCCACCTCTCCTCATTGGCTGAGATATTCATAATTGCCAATCTCATCCAAGCCAATATATAATTGTCATACTCCTAAATGTTAGTAAAAGGGCAGAAATAATCAGCAAAAGCAAGGGACAGCAATGACATTCAGGAGCAAAGTGTGTTTCTTATTTATTTATTTTAAACTTCACAGCTGACATTTTCCACTGTAAAATGTGAAAGATATCTACCTGGCGGCCAGACGGGCCCTAGTCAAGAGGTGGTTGTGCCCAAAATTGCCCCCAATAGCCATAGTAATAGCCAAAATAAAAGATAACTATCTCATGGACAAACTGACGGCACAGGTGAGACACACAGTTAACACCTTCCATAAGGTATGGGATCTCTGGGACCAGTTTGCCATCTGAGCGGGGAAGGAGGAGAGAGATAAAGGACTGCTACGACGCCAGGGGAGGGGAGGCAAGAAATCCAGAGATTACACAGCAGGGGGACTGAAGAGAGGGAATACACCCACCCACGCCTATTTAGACCCTCAGAAAACCACTACATGTCTCACGACTCGGACAAAAGTACACGATACTTGAATTGTTAAGTTGTATTGTTTTATTAGTTAACGCTTGATGACCCACAGGTTTGGTGGGCACAAGAGGAAAAACTGCAGGAATGCAAGCCAAAAACTGGGAAGCAGAAAGCTATTGGGGCTACCCTAATAACGCCTACTACATTGTAAACGCGAAGCCACATGATTTTTCTAACCGATATTCTTCCTTTCTGTAACTACTATGACAAAAAATAAAAAAGAGATGTGATCGGCTTCTGCGAAAGCTAAAATGTCATGCCAATGTGTTCCACGCAGTACAAAAATGAATAATAATAATAAAAAAAAAAATTCAATGTGGAAGATATGTTTGAGTCAAATCCTGGTAGAATTATAGTAATTATAGGAAGATATTCACCCACATATACTTAAAATGTGGGTGGTAGGAGAAATTCCATGGACCTCCACTTGTGCTGCATTTGTTAGTCATTGTTACCAGCCATGAGATATTCTGCTAAAATTACATTTTTGGTGAATAATTGTCTTGCTGATGATTTACTAAGAGCTTGTTAAGAATGTACCACCCCAGCCTTGCCCTCCCCCTTCTTTTCTTCTTTCTGTACCCCCTCACCCCTTTTCCTTTGAAAATGAATAAAAATTGTCAAATAAAAAAAAAGAATGCACCATAGCCTCTAACTTAGTATATACATTGCAAGTAGAGTACTCACCAAGTGACAATTCCATAATTTACAGCAACAATAAGGAGTGAAAATGCATAATGCCAACAATAGCACATTGTAATAAACAGCATATTGCTATGATCCATCTGATCCCATTCAGGACCCCCGCCAGGAGGGTAAAGAACAAAACCGATCTGTAAAACAGGAAATAAAAAAAGAGCATTAACCATTTATGTTGTTATAGTATATACACATATAGGTGCTATTATTATACGATGCTATAAATACACATATATATATATCCTGTGTGCTATAGGAGTCAATTCAAGGCACTAACTCACACCTATAAAGCACTGAACAACTCTAGCCCCTCCTATATCTCCTCACAGATCCATAGGTATGTCCCTTCTCGGTCTCGCCGCTCTGCCCGTGACCACCTCCTGTCCGTTGTCCGCACCCGTACGGCCAACTCGCGCTTGCAGGACTACTCGCGGGCGGCTCCCTTCCTATGGAATAGCCTGCCTACCGCCATCAGACTCTCCCCTAGGCTTGCATCTTTTAAGAAGTGCCTTAAAACCCATCTCTTTAGGAAAGCTTATGGCCCCTACCTCACATACCAGTCTCTTGCCCTCTCCTAAAGGGCAGCCCACCTTATTTGATTGCAAATTCCTGTCCTAATGTGTTTTACTCCCCACCTCCTATAGAATGTAAGCTCGATTGAGCAGGGTCCTCTTCAACCTATTGTTCCTGTAAGTTTATTTGTAATAGTCCTATTTATAGTTAAATCCCCTCTCATAATATTGTAAAGCGCTACAGAATCTGTTGGCACTATATAAATGGCAATAATAATAATAATAATAATAATAATATATACTATTTTGCAATATATGAAAAATCGTAACACTTATTTAAAATGAATACATTTGAGAGGGTGCGCATTAGATTTCCCCATAGAAAAGCATTAAATCAATGCTTTCCTACAAGGGGGGGAATCAGACGCTGGAGGTCCTCATGCAGAGCGTGATGATGTCCACTGTCACATACCGGACCAAAGGTCCATTTCGATCCTGTAAGCGCATCCAGTGGCTGTCTGGTAGACAGCCACTGTGGGCAGACTTAGAGCTGCAATGTAAACATTGCAGTTTCCCTAGAGCTGCAATGGTTAACATTGCAGCACTAAGGGCAATAGGGAACTGCACCCAGACCACTTCAATTAGCTGAAGTGGTCTGGGTGCCTATAGTGTACCCTTAATGGTTACTATCACTCGTGTTTTAACAAGATCAAAACAAAAGAGAAACTAATTAATATGAAGTTGCTGTTTTGTTTGTTTGGTTTTTTTTTTTGCTTCAGGGCAAACAGTACCTAACTTAATACCCATTAAAATCTAACTTATAATATCTCATGCAGATATTTCCAAAAGCAGTGTTTTCAAGACTAACACTTTATTCTGAATCTGAGAATCTGAAGTGAATTCAAAGTGGATTTAAAACGTCATTTGCAACCGTTTAATCTTGAAGTTGGGGTTCCACCACCTGCAACCTCTGCCTCCATGGTTCTTACTTCTATGCACTGAAGTATAATGAAGGTTTACCTGGGGCGGCCAATGGTAAGCTGGGTGCCCATTGAGGAAAATGCACCTGGACACTCCTGCTGCTATAACACCTTAACTGAGCTTAAGATGTTATTGGGGTAGGAGTGTTCAGTTAAAATTCTGCAGAGTGTCAATTCCTCTTTGACATTGTCCGCTTTATCCTAAGCTAAAAAGTGATTTACTGCAATGCTGTGTATTTCTTTTACACCACTAGATGGCACTAGTGCCAAGATATATAAACCATCTATTTGCACATACACTATGCACATACATTCATTAAATTGAAGCTTGCATTGAAAATGAGTTTGTTATAGTGTGTGGGATGTTATTGAGAAACAGATACTCACTGTGTTCATTTATTTATTACAGACAAGAAATCAGATATTCCCAGCATGCTAACAATTATAAACAAGATACATTAACTGTGACTACAAGATGAATAATCATTTACGTGGCAACCAAAGGATGCATTACACGAGTTAAAAAGGAAAGAAAGATTTATCAGCCGCAATATTACTCATGTGTCAGCAATGCACAACATAGCCATCCTTTGGAAGAGATAAAGAGATAGTTGTGTAGGCGCTTTAAATAACCGTATTATTATTATTTTTACTGGCATTTATAAAGTGCCAACATATTCTGAAGCGCTGTACAATTTGGAAACACAACACAATAGGAACAGACCGATAAAACAGGTAGAGGGCTCTGTCCGTGAGCTCACAATCTAAAGGTTAAACTTGGGGGGAGATGAGTCAAGAGGTAGCAGAGGATTTTGTATGTGATGGCAGAGAGAGTTACAGCTGCAGTGTTCAAAATCGTAATATATAAACAGTGTGTGCAATAAAGGTAGTATTCCCCTAGCACCTTAGAAACCATATAAATTCAAATAAAATATTAAACCCACAGTGAGCACACAAGATATACCTATATGTCGATATACAGTAAAAATATTATCATCTGTAAAAGGTACAAACAAATACACAAAGTGCTTTCTGTACATAGTGCTTTGTGAGTTCTAATCCATTCGTACAGATTGTATATTTATTGTTATTATACAGAAAGCACTATTTGTATTTGTTGTTATCTTTTACAGATGATAATATTTCTCCTGTATATCGACATATAAGTATATCTTGTATGCTCACTGTGGGTTTAATATTTTTTTCTGTATTTATATCCTTTGGAAGAGCATTGCAAAGTTATACTTCTTCAGGAGCCAATTCACAAATCTGACTTTTTTTTCTGACTGAATATAGCATGTACTATGATCTGTTAATTGCCTAAACGGGGGGGGCGTGGCAAGCCACGGAGCAAGATGGACGCCTAAATCCCCTGCTCCGGCATCAAGCACCTAATCCAATGCAATCCTGAGCATTAAAACAGCATCTCACACAGCGTGCTGGAAATGTCTCCTCATAAAAGTAAGAAGAGCTCCGGGAAACCGGATAAGCTAAATTTTTTCAGCCAGAAACAACTTACTGCGAACGTGGCTGCGCAGGCCTCAAACCTAGACGAGGGCATGGAATCTGATGGCGGACCTCCCGCGCGAGACCATCTGATATCCGCAGACAATGCCCAAATCACGAAAGCTGACCTAGCATCAGCACTAGATAGCCTGTCTAACAAGCTGATCTCATCCTGGCAACACATGGCAGACTCCATGAGGAAGGACATCCAGGAGCTGGGAAGACGGACAACACACATGGAAGACAAATGCGATGAATTCGCCACGGCCCACAACGATTTAGCCTCTAACGTAGAACACATGGCGGCCAGGTTGGATGCTCTAGAGGGGAAGATGGTGGATCTGGAAGATCGTTCCCATCACAATAACTTGCGTCTGAGGGGCATCCCAGAGGAGATCGCTAATGAAGAACTGCCGGCGTATGTGCTGGGCCTGCTACACGCCCATGCTCCCGAGATACCGGCGAGATACCAGATCGGATCCACCGCATCCCTAAGCCCAAGTACCTTCCACATGCAGTGCCGAGAGATGTGATAATGAGGGCACATTATTACCATATTAAGGAGCACATCCTTCGCGGCAGTAAAATGCGGGCCACACCACCGCCAGAGTATCTCACCATCAAGATATACGCGGATCTGTCAGCAGCCACCTTACGAAAGCGGAAAGCATTCCATCAGATCACAGCTACTCTGAGAATGCACGGCATTAAGTATAAGTGGGGGTTTCCCACTAAACTATTGGTCGCCAAAGATGGAGTCACAACAACCTTAGCAAACCCCGAAAATGGTGCAAAGCAGCTGCAAGCATGGAACTTACAAGTAGCACAGACGGTGTCATCGGCCAAACCTGCGGGGAAACTTACCGCGGAGTGGAACAAGGCCACTAAGAAACATTGAGACCAGCCGGACTCTGGTCGGAGGAGAGCGGGACCTGCACGTGTTCCGACCCCGGATTCCATAAGATGGCTGCCCTTGGAAATGCCCTTCGCACCGTCTCCCCCCCGTGTGCGGTTTCGGACTGGATGTCCGGGGCGGGAGATGGCTTGTGGGACAGAGCACTCCGGGTGGGCAGTCGGGTCAGGGGTTCCCCGCCGACCCCGTGACGAGGCGCGAGCAGAGCGGGACCCTCTGCGGGGACCCCCGGGCCGGACTGCATGGAGGAGGTAAAGGCTTCCCCTGTTCCCCTGCTGGTCTCCCCCTGCCCCACGCTCAGCCCCCCGGGGCTATGAACTGACCGAGAGGCGGCAACGAACAAGCAACTCGCCACATGGCATAACAAGTACCGGAAACAGAAACCGCCGAACAGGTTAGCGGACACACAGCTGCCCTCCGTCCACCCGCATGTATGATGGACTGTGTTTAAAACGGTGGGGACCGGGTGGGCCGGGAGGAACTAGGGGTCCTGGGTGCTGGGGGTGTGGGGGGGGCGAACAGTGAGTTAAAGGGAACTAGTGTTTGCCAGTCTAAATGAATACTGTTGGTAATAATGACAAAGGACTGTAGGACAGGGCAGCCACCACAGACGCAGGCTTAGTCCGCAAAATGGTCTCCCACACAACACCTGGGGACGTGGGCATAGGTAGGGCCTGACTCTGACCCAATAGGACAATGCTCACCAGACAATTCGAAACACGTACGTTGCATTAGCACCGGCGACACATACTAACAAAGAGGTGCACACAGCCACGCTAATGGAGACACGAACTCTCCAACGTACCCCAGATGTGGACGATCCACATACAGTCTCCCTAGGAGGTGATCTGTACATAGTTTTTACCCCATCCAAGTTTCCCTCCCTCTCCCCTAGCTTCCCCCCAAGTCGGTCAGGTGAATATAGGCACGCTACTAAACACAGGCCCTTACATTGCTGCCTCCTTGTGCACACGGATGAATTGCTTAGGCATCCAAACCTCAGTCGCATCCCATTGCCTAGACCCGTTTCTCTTCCTTGGTGCTTTGGGGCATTATATCATTACTATGCCACACTACGTAGAAGTCAAGTACCACCAAATAAATTATGAAAATACAGACTATTAATGTGCGCGGCCTAAATTCGCCGCATAAAAGACGGCTCCTTATGGAGGATGCTAAACATAGGCAATCGGATATTCTATGCATACAAGAAACTCACTTTGCACATAATAAGGTACACCAATTTGCCATTAAAGATTACCCCACACAATACCACTCAACCCACTCCTCCAAATCTAGAGGTGTTTCCTTTTTCATCCATGCATCAATATCCTTTGAACTTCTGCATCTAAAAAAAGATGCCCAGGATAGATACATTATATTGCACTGTAAAATTAATGATGTCGTCTATAATTTGGTGGGAATATATAGCCCCAATGACAACCAGGGGAACTTCTTGCGGAAGGTGCTCTCTAAAATCCCTACTACTGTACAAGCATCCACGATTGTATGCGGGGACTTAAATCATGTACTACATGCTCGTATGGACACCACTACTTCGGAACTGTCCCATAGGCAAAAAGTGGTGGGGAGACAGGCGGACTTCCTTTTGAAACTCCTTGTCAGAATACCATCTATATGACGTGTGGCGAGCACACCATCCGAATAGCCGGGAATTTACATTCTACTCCCAGGTACACAAAACGTACACCCGAATAGATTTTATATTTATTTTGGGAGATCTATTGCCGAAAGCCACGCATAGTGAGATAGGGAATATAGTGTGGTCGGATCACGCCCCAGTGCACCTAACATTAGAGGATACTTTCCCCTCACGAGGGGTGACCCCGTGGCGCCTGAATGATCATCTTCTCCTAAATAGCGACTTGACAACCAAACTGGAAGAGGGAATAAACTCCTTCTTTGACCTGAATAGCACTCCGGACATATCTGTGACCACACACTGGCAGGCACATAAAGCGGTCGTTAGAGGCCTGCTAATCATATCTAAACAAAAAATCCAGACAAGAATATATAGATCTTTTGAGGTCCCTAAGGGAAGAAACCCTTAAGCAAACCAGGGCCCCAACGCCGCCTACGCAACAACGCATAGATGACTTAAGAGGAGAATTGAATAATAAACATTTGCGAGCCACAACCCTTATGACATACAAACTAAAACAGACGACATACACGCAAGGAAATAGAGCGGGGAAAACCCTGGCAAGACTTTTAAGGCAACAACAACAAAACGCAAAAATCCCATATCTCCTCAATAGCATGGGGAATAGGCTATATAACCCGCAGGCGATCAATGACACATTGGCAGACTACTATAACGCACTTTACAATTAAAAAATTGACACACATACACACCAACTGTCTCAAGCAGAAATAGACTCGTTCCTAAACGACATCCGACTACAGCAGCTTACACAACCAGATCAATCACTGTTGGCAGAACCTATCACACGAACAGAGATAGAGCTCACGATCAAATCGCTTCCCAAAGAGAAATCCCCCGGCCCGGATGGTTTCACAAACCTATATTATAAAACATTCTCATATTTGCTAACCCCCCAATTAGAGAAACTATATAACCACATACGAACTACCGGTACAGTTCCTAAAGAAATGCTCCTAGCTCATATAACGACTCTGCCAAAGCCCGGAAAGCCGCCCAATAAGAGCCAAAATTTGCGCCCCATCTCGCTGTTAAATACAGACCTAAAGATACTAGCTAAAATTTATGCCAGTAGGCTTGGGAACATCTTACCCAAGCTGATAAATAACGATCAAGTTGGGTTCATACGGGGTAGACAGGGCTCAGACGGGACCAGGAAATTGATCAACCTCCTCCACACAATACAGAAAACTGGGGACCCCAGTGTGGTACTGTCACTAGATGCAGAAAAAGCATTTGACAGACTGCACTGGGGCTACCTACAAGCATTACTTCGGAGGCTAGCCTTCCCGGAATGCTTCATTACACTAGTATCGGCACTCTATGATAACCCAACTGCAAAAATATCAAATGGGGGTTTCACCTCCAAATCATTTTCCATCTCAAACAGGTCTAGGCAGGGATGCCCACTGTCTCCCTTACTGTACATACTGGCGTTAGAACCCCTAGCACAGCATATAAGGAGTTCACAAGATGTACACGGGATAATGGCAGGAGGGAGGATGCACAAAATTACTCCTTTTGCCGACGATGTTATGCTCACGCTGTCTAGACCCGAGATCTCTCTTCCAATGTTACGAACCATCATAACAAGGTTCGGCAACTGCTCCTACTACAAACTGAACACAACCAAAACGCAGGCCATGGGCCTAAACATCACTAAATCCCAACTTATGCAATTACAAACTACCCATGCCTATGACTGGCGACGAACCCACTTAACATTTCTAGGTATCAACCTCATGCCCCAAACAAACCAACTATACAAGGCAAACTATTTAAAATTACACAGCTCTATCAAGCAACAGCTACAAAGTTGGAGGAAGAAATATATATCGTGGACAGGCAGAATAGCTGCCGTTAAAATGATGATCCTGCCAAGATTGCAATACCTCTTTAGAACCCTTCAAATTAGACTACCAAGCACATTTTTCAGAGAATCCTAACAATCGATAACTCAATTCATCTGGGGAGGGAAGAAGCCTAGGACAGCGGCTGAGATCATGTATAAACCATTTAGAGAGGGTGGGCTGGGAATGCCAAACATTTCAAGGTATTACGCGGCGGCGGTGACGAGCACGCTGGTAACCACCTTCAATGACAAGAATCCACGGACGTGGAGTTATATAAAATCCTCACATGCAAGGGGGCTCTCCTTGCCCACACTAGCTTGGCTACCTAAAACATATAGACCGAAACTCCTTATAAGACATCGCCCTGATACCTATTTCCCCTGCTCTGCCAATACAAGCCTTACAATTCTTTATTCCCGACTTTGACTATGGTATGTGGCACAAACATGTGGTCATATACATATTTCAAATCTTAAAAGAGGGTCGCATATTAGATTTTCCCTCTCTAGCCCAGAACTACCAGCTCCCAGTGAAGGCACAATACTCACATTTGCAATTGCAGTCTTGGGTAAGGAAGAATTTCAAGGGGGATACACCACTACCACGCAACTCCCTGTTGGGGGAGATGGAAAAATTGTGCATGGCCCCGAAACTCCCCCCCAAACTGCTATCAGTAATATATCAGCTACTTACGAAACACGATAAACCAGGGAAACCGACGTTTATGGGGGCCTGGGAGAGAGATCTCCACAAGACCATATCAGATGAACAGTGGGCACAAATATTCCTTGCACATAGGAGCCTCAATTCATCTCACATAGAAACGAGTAGGAAAGGGTTATACAGGATGTATATGGTTCCCACAAGACTGCACAAAATGGACCACAAAAGATCCAACCTGTGTTGGAGATGCCGAGCAGAGCCAGGATCCATGCTCCACATTTGGCGGTCCTGGCCGAAACTTACAGGGTTCTGGGAGGGTATTTCGGCCACGATACAGGCAGTAACAGGCAAGAAGCTACCACATAGACCAGAGACATACCTGCTGCTGGTGTTGCCGAGAAACTTCCAAAAAGCCACTCTATACCTCATGTATCATATTATCATCACAGCCCTGACAGCAATAGGAAGGATGTGGCTCAGGGACCTTTCGCCAGATATTGGGCAATGCTTAGGTGAGGTTGACACCACAAAACGGTATGAGATAGAAGTGAGACGCCTAAGATCTAAGAAAAAGACCTGGCAGGCAGCATGGGACCAGTGGGAAGCTTGGCGACAACAGAACCCAGTGTCTCTAAAACCACAGCGGCTATTAAACCCTTAGCATACACTCCTACTATTAGTGGACCGACACCCCCTTAACCTTTTACCTAGTTTCCCCCTCCCTTATTGTCAGCGGACGGGAAGGACATAAATATGAAGTGTCAATGTTATTGACATAAGAGTGACGATACCCGGAGCTCCCCAAGTAATAGTGATGCATGACAGTTGAAAATTGAGCAAGGGGAAGTAAAACTTGGTATATACTTGATCCACCCTTTGGAACTGGGGCAGAGTTAACCTTGGGTATTGTCTGTAAAGCACATCCCTTTCTCTTCTGTACCCCTTCCCCCTAATCTCTTAAAACTCAATAAAAGTATTGAAACAAAACAAAAAAAATAGCTTAAACGAACATTAAATGCAGTATAAGTGTTTTAACCATTTCAGTGGCAGATTAGTTGTGGTCCCCTTCTTCGAGGATTCCCAATGCAGTTTTCAAGTACCCCCCCTCACAGGCCAGGATTTAGGCATTACCCAGTTCTGTCCAGACTGGTTGTTTTTTTTTCTTTCTTTCTAAAAACACCTTAGACACAACTGGGTAATCCCTAAATCCTAGACTGTTAGGAGTACTTGAAAACTGGGTTGGAAATCCCTGTTCTAGACACAATACCTGTGTAATGAAGGTCCTTTATTAAGGTGAGGGGATATGGCCCAGATCTAACCAACTTTACCCCTCTCACAGCTATATGGATAACGTGAGGATAGTGTACTGGGGTGATATTATTAGGAGTGCATGCTAATCATTATATCAAATAGAACTATTTCGTTTTATAAACCGTCTGGGTCATTTTTATTATCATTTGTTTATCATGAATATTAAATTCCACCACAGTTATATGAATGAAATTAATCCTTTTTAAATCAGACGTGTATTCTTTGCGCTATAGTGCTTTGCTAACAGTTTTGTTGACAGGCCTTCACCTGTAAGGAGTAAAAGAGCAGTTTTACTTACCTTTTCTCCCTCGCAGTGCCTGTCTGTGCGCTGCTCTTTCGCATCCATAGCTGAGATCTTCAAGATTGTTAAGCTCAACCAATTGAATGCTTTCCCACAGTAAAGCATTGGGTGGTTAGAGAGCATGTGTGGCAAAATTCCATGCAGCACCAATCAGATGGTCTCAATGAGAACATCTGATTGAAATAGCTGGAAGCACCTCTAGTGCCTGTCAAAGTGACAGCTACTAGAGGCATTTAAATCCTGCATTGAGATTACGTGGTCTGGGTGCCTATATATTCCCTTTAACCCCTTAAGGACCAAACTTCTGGAATAAAAGGGAATCATGACATGTCACACATGTCATGTGTCCTTAAGGGGTTAATGTTATTGGGAACAAATGCTTCTTCAGCATAGAAAATGGAGTGAATCTTTAAAGCTCTGAATGCTAATCACATTATGTGAGGAAAAGTATATCATAGATCATATTACATTTGCAAAAAAGAGATATTATTAATAAGATATAAAGAAAGAATGGATGTTTATCCATAAAATCCTGATTGCAATTGAAATACAAAATATGCATCACTTGGGTAGAAATGTAATCTCTGTAATGCATTATACACTAAAACACTCTCTATAGGCAAGTTAAGGAACCAGCAGGAAATGTGTCAATATGGTTTAATAAAAGAATGAATATAAACAAGGGTTTACGAAGTTGGCAAGCCTAATTTAAAGGGACAATAAACTCATTCTTTTTGTTTGTTTTTTAATGTTGTCTATGATCAATGATGTCAATATTAATTTGCTTTTCTGCTCATTTGTGGGATGGGAAATGTAATGTTGTAATGGGAGTGTGTATCATCTGGGGGTAAAGTCAGAAAGTTAGGAAAAAAGGCATTATGAAAAATAAAATCAGAAAAGGGGAGCATCTTGGAGAGGAGGGAGAAAAGAGGAACAACATGAATCAACAGGAGGGGAAAATAACCATGTACAGATGTGAAATAACCGGGCCACAATACCCTTCCCATGACTGTCTCCACCCCAGGTATCTGTTCCACGCCTGCCACAAACATTACTAGGATGGGCAAGGAACCACAAAACATCAACTTCCAGGACAACATTAGTTAGGCAATATAATTACATTTATATATAATTCTGCAAAAATAGTCAGCAGCTTATTATTATTACTATTAGCATTTCTATAACGCCAACATATTCCCCAGTGCTTTACAATAACAGAAAATGAATGATTAGAGGTGAAGAAAGCTCTGTTCAAATGAGCTTACGCTCTTGGAGGATTGCAGGTAGGCCAGGGACCCTTACTGGTAAGGTGGGCTGACTGGGATTGCAAATACATAAATACTGCAACAAAATGGTTCTATGAGCTCCTGACGGTTAGGTAACAGCTGGAACTTGACATAAACTGACAACAAACTGGCTCACATAAATACATTCATACCTCACAATAGTAAACAATGTCATGTGACAAAGAGAAACATCAAACGTACCTGCCAGAACCAGCTGCCTTGTAGTATACACAGACTGGTCCGGAATAATTCTAGGATAATGTTGCCACGGTGAAACACCTCCAAGAATATACACAGAGCTCCACCAAACACAGCCACTAACAGCAGCAAGTGTACGTGAACATCCAGCATTGCCCTTCCATGCACATGGTAATAAAACAGGAACCCTACAATTACAAAGATCTTGTTATAATGTGTCAGTTGCATTCTAACAGTACCATTGGAATGGGTTTTTGTTATAAGAATATGTAAAACTTTGTAAAGATCAAAAACAAAATGGTAACAAGTCACATGAAAGAATATGTAATCTATTGGGCTTACTCCGAAAATCAAACATGAACTTTGTTTGCCTATAAACATCCAAGAAAGGTCACCTTGATTTTGTATTAATGTGTGCAACACAATATGTAAACGTTAAGGGACACTATAGGCACCCGGACCACTTCATCTCATTGAAGTGGTCTGGGTGCAGTGTCCCTGTTCCCAACCAGAGCCACTAGAGATGCTTCTTGCCGTTTCATGGAGTTTGACTGTGGCTTTCAAATGAATTTGTGTGTGGTGTTGGCTTTCAAATGCAGAGGTAAATTGTGTGCAGCATTTTTCAATTGAATGTAGTGTTTTATGTGCATATACACATACACTGCCACACACACATTAACACAAACACTGATAGATACACACAGACACATGCCATTAGTTTCACGTGTCTTAGCCACACTCCTTTTTCCAGGAGGACGGAATCCCTTGTGTCCAGTGTGCAGACATCCCAAGTTTCCTGATAGGTCCGGGAAACTCCTGTATGTTTAATGAGGTGTCCGGATACCCGCACACCATGTGTAATATCCCAGAAATCATACACACAATCTAACATACAATGCATGTCAGATTGTGTGTGTTTGATTTTCAGGGTATTACAAATGATAAATGCCCTTTACTCATTACCCACTTTCTTGTACAGAGGCCCAGTCAGGTGCCCAGCCCTTTAAGAGCCTGACTGGGCTCTGCAGTATCTGCCAGCTAGGAGGTAGTGATATGCTATCATTTCCTCCCAGCTGAAAAAAACTGCCGCGTGGGAGGAGAAGGAGGCAGCTGGAGGAGGAAATGCTCACTCCCATCAGCCTCAGCCCAGACACCAAAAGGTAAGCTAACAGGTGGCTGTATTGTATTTCAGATTGTATGTGTATCTGAATTAGTGTGTGTATTTACTAGTGTGTGTATCTATGTGTCTTTGCCAATGTATGTATATGTGTGTTTATGTATATGTGTGTTTGTGTGTATGTGTCAATGTGTATATCTGTGTATGTGTCAATGTGTGTATTTGTGTGTATGTGCCAGTGTGTGTGTTTATGTGCCAGTGTGGGTATCTGTGTGTGTGTGTGTGTGTGTGTGTGTGTGTGTGTGTGTGTGTGTGCATGTGCCAGTGTGAGTATCAGAGTGTGTGTGTGCATGTCAGTGTGGGTATCTCTGTGTGTGTGCCAATGTGGGTATATGTGTGTGTATTTGTGTGTATGTGCCAGTGTGAGTATCAGAGTGTGTGTGTATGTGCCAGTGTGAGTATCAGAGCGTGTGTGTGTATGTGCCAGTGTGGATATCAGTGTGCGTGTGTGTGTGTGTGTATCTGTGCCAGTGTGAGTATCACAGCCGCTATTTGGATTGGCTGAGAGCATCACATGCTTCCCATTCAAAAAACTGTGTGAGAAAGGTAACACAATTTTGTGTTACTGGCCTTTTGCTCCTTTGCAATCAACATTTTGTCTTCTACTCTACCTATGTAAACTTAATTCCTCTTATTAAGAGCACCCTACGTTGAGATGACACAAACGATCAGCTCAGTTTCTTTTTTTTTTTTTTTTAGAACAGCTCAACAAGGACAAAAAACACCTGTATATTATGCTTAAAAAATAAAATAAAAAAGTTCCTTATGAATTTTGATATTTTTCTACATACATCTTATTATAGATTTATTTTTTTATTGTTTATACTAACCATATTTTTAGTATTTTGTTCAGTGGAGCCATAGATTGTTATATTTCCAGTTTGCAGATTAGGTGTTTTGACTACCATGTACTGGTTTCTGATTTATTTATTTATGATTTATTTTTGCTGTTTTGTTAGAATTCTAAATAATATAATTATAGAAACCCCAAATAAAATACCTTCAACAAAGACAGCAATAGACAGCATCATCCTATCGATTGCTACCGGAACAGCTTTGGTAGTGTGAGTGATAATGTCCACTACCCCTGAGATGCCATAAAAGAGATACATGGTGGAATGTTGCCAGTTCATTAGATGGCTCCATTGTTTCTCTTCTGAATTGTACAACTTCAGGTGAGGTCCATCTGGCACAAACTGCTCAGCAATCATGCCTGAAAAACACAATAAAGGTGAGAGGTTAATTTATTTTCTAACCATAAATGCAGATCTGTACAGTAAGTCCTTGCTATGTATCCATTTATTTAACTAATTCCTGTCTGATGTACATAGACCTTGTGCTCACATGAAACATAAATGTACCCAGGGTGTAACCTTCCCATTAAAATTCCATAGTATCGTCTTGATATAATATATATATATATATACACTGATCAGTCACAACATTAAACCACCTTCATAATATTGCGTAGGTCTCCCTCATGCTGCCAAAACAGCTCTGAACGTGGCCTGTGGTATCCAGCTCCAAGATTTCAGTAGCAGATCCTTTAAGTCCTGCAAGTTGCAAGGTGGGTCTTCCAAGGTTAAGATTTGTTGTTCCAACATATCCCACAGATGCTCAATTGAATTAAGATCTGGTGAATTTTGAGGCCAAGGGAACATTTTGAACTCTTTGTCCTGTTCCTTAACCCCTTAAGGACCAAACTTCTGCAATAAAAGGGAATCATGACATGTCACACATATCATGTGTCCTTAAGGGGTTAAACCATTCCTAAACAATTTTTGAGTTGTGGCAGTGCGTAGTTGTCCTGACCCCCCTCTCACCCCATGTTTGCTTATCCCCTTACACCTGTTACTCCCTATCATGACATCTTTTACCCTTTAAATGTCTCGACACACCTTTATGCAGGGCCGTTGATCCATGCAGACACACACTGACCCATGCAGACCAACACTGGCGCGCACACACACACACAAAGACTCATGCAGACCGACACATACACACACATGCACAGAGACTCACGCAGATTGCCATACACACACACAGACCCATGCAGATTGACACAGACAGACCAATGCAGACTGACACACACACATGGACCCATGCAGACTGACACACACAGACACACAGAATTAATGCAAACTGACATACACACACAGAACCGTGCACCATGCAGACTGACACACAATCACACACAGACACATGCAGACTGACACACAGACCCATGCAAACTGACACACACACACACAAACACACAGACCCATGCAGACTGATACACACACACAAACACACAGACCCATGCAGACTGATACACACACACACACAGACCCATGCAGACTGACACACACATACATGCAGACTAGCACACACAGAAACACACAGATCCATGCAGACTGACACATACACACACAGACCCATGCAGACTGTCACACAAACACACACTGAGCCATGCAGACTGACACACATACAGACACAGACCCATGCAGACTGACACACACACACACACACTGAGCCATGCAGACTGACACAAACACACAGAGACCCATGCACCATGCTGACTGGCACACAAACACACACAGACACATGCAGATTGACACACACACACATATGCAGACGCATTCTCTGAAACACACACTTACCTTAATTTCATATATCAGTTTGCTGCCTGGCATCCTGTTACTCCCTGTATCAACCCCACTTCCAGCTGTGCAAGTAAAATGCGTACCTGGTGAATGGCCTCCTGGGATGGATACTCTTTGCCTCCATGCCCCACTTCCTTTCTCTGACATGTTCCCACACACATGGTAGGGGGTGGGTGTGCATAGACACAGCGCCCGCGCGCAATAATATCAAGTGCAGCCAGGCGCGGGTGGCCAGAAGGTAGTGCAGCACTGTGTAAGTAAAGGCAGCGCCGCTGGCGCCTGGCTGCCATCCTGAATTTTTCCATGTGTTACTGGGCCAACCCAGTCTAGTCACCCCGATAGACCCAGACACAATTATAGCTGCAGGTTGGTCAGAGGCGCACCCCAAGGAACTGGCGCCCTAGGCCACTGCCTAGGTGGTCTAAAGGAAGGCCCGGCTCTGCCTTTATGTGTGTCTCCGCTGACCCTCATCACACCCTTTTATACCTCTTCATAGTCTGGAGTCCTTTTGCCACGTTTCTTAAACAATTCCTGAACAATTGCAGTGTGGCATGGTACATTATCCTGCTGAAGGGCCAACAAGGAACACCATTGCCATGAACGGGTGTAAGTGGTCTGCAAAAATATATAGGTAGGTGGTACATGCCAAAGTCATATCCACAGGAATGCCAGCAGAACATTGCCAAGAGCATGTTACTATCTCCCCTGACCTGCCATCTTCCCATAGTACAGGTCAGGGGAGATGGCCGGGTGTAAACAACATACACCCGGCCATCCACCTGATCAAAAGAAAACGTGATTCATCAGACCAGGTAACTTTCTTCTATTGCTCCGTGGTCCAGTGCTAACACTCACGTCCACATTGAAGGTGCTTTCTGCAGGGGACAGGGGCTTTCATGGGTACTCTGGCCAGTCTGCAGTTACGCAGCAAACTTCAATTCACTATGTGTTCTGACACATTTCTTTCATGGCCAGCATTACATTTTCCAGCAATTTGAGCTACAGTAGCTCTTCTGTGTCATCAGAGCAGACAGGCTAGCTTTAACTCCCCACGTACATCAATGAGACTTGGGTGTCCCCTAACTGGTTCACCGGTAGCCCTTACTTGCACCACTTTTGGTACGTACAACCACTACATTATGGGAACACCCCAGAAGACTTTTCGTTTTAGAGATGTTTTGACCCAGTTGTCAGGCCATCACTTCTTGGCCCTTGTCAAAGTTACTTAGATCTTTTTGCTTGCCCATTTTTTTCTGTTTCCAACATATGATATTCAAGAACCAACTATTCTCTTGCTGCCTAAAATATATCACCTATTAACAGGTGCAATGGTAACTATGTAATCAATGCTATTCACTTTTCCTGTAAGTGGTATTAATGTCGTGGCTGATCAGTATGTATCTAGATATGCACACACACTTTGATTTTTTTTTACTATGTCACATAGATATGAAGTACAATTGAGTTCTTTCTATTAAGATCTAATTTTCTATCTAGCTGGGATATATTTATATTGCTGGGCATTAGCTTTGTTTTGACTCTCTGTGTTGGACATCACATCTCGAGGTAAAACCTTGGTCAGACTTGGAAATTCTCAGGTTCCATCCGTTTCATGAGTGGTTTGCCAATTTTGGTCCTTTGGGGAAAAAGAATCCTTTTGGTGTGGTGTGTATTTGGGCCTGTGTGTACATGTGTGAGCGTATTCCTGTGTTGGATTCCACAGAAGCTCAAATGACTATGAATAATCACTGGCATTCCAGCTGTTATGGAGGAAAATCCAATAAACATTTTTTTTAAAGTTTAGAAAAGTAATATGTACGATATATAATAGCCAGGGCCGTCTTTAAGGAGGGGCAAAAGGGGCAGCTGCCCCGGGCCCAGTTACTCCTGGGGGCCCTAAGGCAGCTGCCCCATGGGCCCCCTGCGGCACCTGAGGTAATCAGGGGCCACAGCCCTTTAATACTGCTCTGGACCGGCCCGGGCCCCTGTTATATGGGGGGTGGCTGACTACATACTCACAGCTAGCCCCCTCACATACTGCCCTTTGAGTCTCTTTGTTTCCTGGGCATGCTGAGAGGCAGTGAGGTCAGATTTCTTCCTCCCAGTAAGAACTGATCACTTCCTCCTCCGTGCCGCTGGGGTGGAGGCACACACCACATGGAGGAGGATGCAAGCAATGTGGGGGAGAGGGACTGAGAAAGCTGATGGCAGACTCCCATCAGCCTGGGCCAGCAAGCTCTCACTGGACACCAGGGAAGCCACCTTTCTGTACCCAAAAGGTAAGGAGACAGGAGGGTGGCTAAATATGTTTTGTTTTTTGTTTTGCTAATTTCTGATATCACTTTTATTCAAGTGTTGGTGTTTGTAATGTAACACACAGGGAATAAGTACATGTTAAAAATCCTAGAAGAACCTGACAGTTCCCTATTAAATATAAATTTAAAAAGTATTTATTTTAACATATTATTGCATCAAGTGTTATCAAAGGCTGTATACCATTTTCAAATGTCACTTTTGCCAAATTCTGGACCAGGGTACGTAAGAACAGAGTTGAGACATTATATTGGCCAAGGTTGCTGGGAGTTGCTGTCCAAGAGCTGCTAGAAGGCAGAGATTAAAATATGTACCGTATATACTCGAGTATAAGCCGAGTTTTTCGGCACATTTTTTGTGCTGAAAAACCCCAAATCGGCTTATACTCGAGTCACTGTTTGTATTATGGCAATTTACATTGCCATAATACAGACTGGGGGCTGGCAGCGAGCGCTTACCTCTCCTGCAGCTCCTGTCAGCTCTCTCCTCCTCCGCGCCGGTCCGTGCAGCACCTCGGTCAGCTCACACTGTAAGTCTCGCGAGAGCCGCGGGGTCATAGTGCGGCTCTCGCGAGACTTACAGTGTGAGCTGACAGAAGAGCTGCACGGACCGGCGCGGAGGAGGAGAGAGCTGACAGGAGCTGCAGGAGAGGTAAGTAACAGCTCTGCCAGTCCCCCTCCTCCCCCCACTGAACTGCCAATGCCACTGGACCACCAGGGAAGGAGAGCCCCCCTCCCCAGCCAGCTAAAAAGCAGGGAGGGGGGACGAAAAATAAATAACTTAATAATATACAAATATAAATAATAATAATAATAAAAAAATAATAAAAAAAATAATATAACAAAAAAATTAAAAGAATAATAAATTTTTTTTTATAAAAATGCCCACCCCCCACCAAGGCTCTGCAACACAAAACACACTGCATCACACACACACTGCATTCACACACACACACACTGCATTCACACACACACACACTGCATTCATACACACACACACTGCATTCATACATACCAAGGCTCTGCAACACAAAACACACTGCATTCACACACACACACTGCATTCATACACACACACTGCATTCATACATACCAAGGCTCTGCAACACAAAACACACTGCATCACACACACACTGCACTCATACACACACTGCACTCATACACACACTGCACTCATACACACACACTGCATTCATACACACACACTGCATTCATCATATGCACACACTGTAAATAAATATTCAATTAATATAATTTTTTTAGGATCTAATTTTATTTAGAAATTTACCAGTAGCTGCTGCATTTCCCACCCTAGTCTTATACTCGAGTCAATACGTTTTCCCAGTTTTTTGGGGTAAAATTAGGGGCCTCGGCTTATATTCGGGTCGGCTTATACTCGAGTATATACGGTAAATGTACACATATATATGTGTGTGTGTGTATCTGGCTGTGTTTATGTCCTTGTTTGTATCTGGCTGTGTTTATGTCCTTGTGTGTATCTGGCTGTGTTTGTCTGTGTGTCAGTGTTTCTGTGTGTATGTATACCTCATACACCTGTATGTGCACCTGTGTGTGTGTTTCGGTGTGTGTGTAAGTGTGCATCTGAGTGTGTGGTAATGCATACATCCCAGCATTTTAATGCCAACACAAATACACTCCTACATTCCATCTCTAGCACTGTACACATATACACCCCTGCATTTATACCTTTATGTATGTGTGTATCTGAGTGTGTGTATATACCTGTGTCAGTGTGTGTGTGTATGTGCCAGTGTGTGTATATCAAAGTGCTTGTATCTGTGTGTCAAAGGGTGTGTATCTGAGTGTGTGTGTATGTGTATGTGCCAGTATGTGTCAAGGTGAGAGCATGTGTCAGTGTGAGCATGTGTGTATCTGCATGTTAATGTGTATATGTGTTATAGAAATCACACAACATGCAAACAGACCCCTGCAAACACAAACATTACAAACACACCAGTTTGCTGAAACACTAATACTACACACAAATGTACAGATGTATTTAAAAGACAACACTACATCCAAACACCCCCCTGCATGCAAATACAAACATTACATGCAAACACATTCCTGTATTAAAACGCTAAAATTATATACAAACACCAACTCTACACACAAAAGTACACCTGCATTTAAAAGCCAACACTACAAACAATCACACATCCCTGAATTAAAATGCAAACACTACACACAAGTACACCACTGCATTCCAATGGTAACAGTACATACAAATACACCCCTACATGCACACATACACTCTATACAATAACATGCTGACATTCAATTGCACAAACACTGCTCAAAAATACAACCCTGCAAGGATGGTAGATCCCCAGCTGGCATAGCATCGCAGGAGTTGTATGACAGATGGGGATCTATCTTTTCTTTACTCTTGTGCTACAGGGCAGGCCTGAATTATTTTTTTTTTGCACCAAGGCACTCTCTACATTAGTTTCGCCTCTAGGTTGGGGTGGAGGGAGTGATTGCATGCCCAGGGGGCCCAAGCAGATGCTTGCCCAGGGTCCAATCAATATTAAAGACGGCCCTGATAATAGCAAAGTATATAGTCAGAAAAAATAATGTCACTTCAGGGTTCTGGAGACATTTTGAAACCAATCAATCTCCTCTCACATGGTGTATTATATCTCTAGAGCCCCCAATGGTATTATTTACAATTACAATCATTTATATAGAGCCAACATATTTCACAGTGTTGTACAATAGATAAAAGAAGGGAAACAATTAATTCTAACACAAGGCCCTATGGTTTAGGAAAGCAATCAACTTTTAAGGAGCAATAAAGCATGTTTAATTTAAAGTGTTATGCATGTTAACTTAAATAGTAAAACTAACTGGACCTACTTACCTATTAATGCAAATACTGCTTTTGTTGCTCCTTCAATTATTTCCAGCCTCTGCAACCCTACTTTCGATCCGAAGGAACAAACTTTCTTATTTTTCTTGCATGCATACCTCAGGGGGTATTTTATGGACCACCAAATGCCAAATATAAGGAAAAAGCTCCCTGGCAGTGCATGCCCTTTAAAGTTTGCCATGTTACCTGTCTACCTTTCTACCTGTAAAAAATACAAAATAAATTTAAAAAAATATTCTTGACACATTGTACACTTAACTTTTCTATATACAGTGGGCCTCATCCACTATTCCACATATTTACCATTGCCTAAGAAGGATGTGAAATGTTTACTTGCACAGCATTTCAAGATACACATTGTGAATTGTCAATACATTTCTGAACGTACTTACATATATAAAGTTACTGTTACTTCACGCTTTTCACCGTCTGAGTGACAAAATGATTTGGCCAACTAATCACCCAAAGAAATGGCACGCAACACTCTATCAGAATACTTTGCCAACACATAAAAATCAGACTATTGATCGTGCTGTAAATAGAGATAGGATAGGGGTTCATATCTTCTTTAGACTCACTTTCATAAGGATAATAATGTGAAAATAAGTACTGGCGCTATAGAGTGCAAATTTGTATAAATATATATGAATAAATATTAATAATAGTAGCTATAACACTTGGGTGTAAAAACATTTCTATATACACCAAAAAAGACAAATTAAGAACAAGAAAAAGTGTAGCGCTAGTGAAATAATATTAAAAATATACTTATATCAAATGGATAGATTTCAAATGAAACATCCACAAATCCTAGAATTATAAAAAAAAATAACATAGTGTCATAAGTTTTAAAAGAAGTGAGTATTTATAAAATCAGAAGCACTCACAAGTGTAGAGCTATTAGACTTAGCTCAAGCGTAAAAGGTATTCGGGTCTGTAAAGGCGATCCATTTGGTATAAGATTATTTTAATAGTGTTTCACTAGCGCTACACTTTTTCTTGTTCTTTCTTAAGGGCACCCAAAAATTATGGCAACTCCTCCCATCTACCACATGCGACAAAATGCACCTTCAACTTGAACATTGGCCCTAGCTCTCCAAACAAAAACAGTGGCAACTTTAACTGAGACTGACAACATTACCCAAAATGTGGCGAAAAAGAGGCAGACCTGCTACAAAGCCTTTTAGGGATCTGATTCCTGTATAGTATGTAGCACTATATACCAAAAGCTCTACAAACTGTTTATTATCCTTGCATAAGTTATAATGCTGCAGTTACAGAATTGGACCTACTATGTTTCAGCAATAAAGATTTTAGAGACAGTTTTGTAATTTTTGTCTATTTGATAAATGACAAATTATGTTTCCAAATTTCTTTTCCAAAGCCACAAGCCTCCAAACCCTAATAAAATGTACTGAATGTAATGTAATGTTTAAATTGATACAGTAGATGAAGCCATGGCTAAATAGAACAGAATCCTACGCTTAGCACTGTCCTGGTACGTTTGTCATTTTGTGTATAGTCTTTTGCAATCAGTATCCATTGTACTACATGAAACATAGTCAACAACATCTGAGGTTTCCCTCACTAGGAACGCGTTTTTTTAAACTGTCTCGAAAGAAAAAAAAGGTTTGTTTGCTCACAAAGGCGAGATAGTGAACACACAAACAGGACAAATTTGAACACAGGATAACAATGGTTTTCAAGAGTTCGAGCAACCAAAATGTTAGTAATCATACTCCAAGGAATTATCTAAACACTATAAGCACTACAGCTTGCTGTGGTGGCTGTGGTTTAACCCCTTAAGGACCAAACTTCTGGTATTAAAAGGGAATCATGACATGTCACACATGTCATGTGTCCTTAAGGGGTTAATGATTCTTTAGGTGCTGTCCCTCCTGTTTTTAAAACAGAAAAAATCTTCAGGCAATCACAGAATTAAAGCCACAGGCAGATTTACTGGGTCAAAAAGGCAAAGCAATGTTTTGACTTACTAAGAGGTCTTTATCAAGCTGATAAAAACCTCTTAGTAGGTTGAAACATTGCTTTGCCTTTTTTAATCCATTAAATCTGCCTGTGGCTTTAAATCCGTGTACAGAGGACGTGTAATATTAATGAACCAGTATAAAAACTGTAAATTTGTATATTTTCTCCACATTCCCTTTTCATCTCAAAGGGTCTCCATTATATTGATTGATCAAAGCAGACCATCTGTAATACAGCTGTTGCTGCGGAATACTAATTGAGATGGAGAAAGAACCTTTGACGAATGATGTTTAAAACAGCAGTCGAGCAGTTGGGGGAAAAAGTTATTTCGGATCTGCTAAATGTTGCAGAACTGTGAAAAAAAAGGTTATTCTAAACGGAAAGTGTTGCAACACAATTTTCCAAGTAGAAAGTAGCCTGTTATTGGTCATGACCTGTTCTCAAAATTGTGTATAAATGTATTTAAAATCTGTCATTTATATTATAGTAATTTATTACAACTTACAGCATCTGGTCACCTACATGTCCTACCTGTTAGCTCATATTCCAATAACATTTAGCCACATATATAAAGACAGAGAAATATTTTAAAGATACTCCAATTCCATTATAATCTGAGCACAGCTGGACTTCTCCATTTTTACCATGTTAGAACTTAATCAAGGGCATTAAATCCTTCTTTTGATGAAGATTCCTCTGTACCGATTATTAATTAATTAATTACACGAATTACTTACAACCTGGATAAATTCAAGATGACTATTAAATAAAGGTAAGGACCATACTTTAAATTATTCACTCAGCTGCCTAGGTCAGGCGTGGGACATGGTGCGACAAAAGTCCTTGCCATTGACTTTTTCTGCACTTTGAGTGGGGGGAATCCACTTTTCACAGCAACAATGTTCTACAATAATACTGAAAATAAATACAATAAACTTAGCTAAAGAAGAGACAAGGATTTCTGGGTTTTCGCCATAAATAGAGTACATATGTTGATTTTTTAACCCCTCTCTAGACAATAAACATTTCTGGAAAACAAATAGGTCCTTTTGGGTCTTGTCACACTGACCCTTCGAAAGGTGAATGTATATGTGATTCCCTCAAGATTTGGAGTTTGAAAACAGAATGCACTCTTTTCAAATAATAGGAAAATCATGTTATATATTGTGTAACGATACATAGTTTTGTGATCAGTGGCCAGACTTCAGCCCAAAACTGCTGAAATCCATTGCATCCTTGCATCTGTTTGTAGAGGGAGATCTGAGTCCCCCTCCGCAGGAATTCCAGAGTGTGCAAAATCCTTGTGTAATGAAAAAATAAGGTGGGGGCTCTTTAACTCTTTTTACTTACATAACAAAGAAGATCTCTCTTTTTTTCGGTTCAATACAAGAATAGTCATGACATCCACAACTACCCTATAATTATGCAAGATGTTTGTTTTCGTCATCAATCACATAACGCTGGCTCCAGAACTCCTAAGGAATACCCTCCTCTCCTGAAACTCTTATATCAAAGTTTAATCTTCCATCGATCTGCTCACACTTGGCCATGTAAATTCAGTGGAAAAAAACATTGTCAAAAGGCTTCTCAGTGTCTATAATCAGTGGATGTTTGTCAAGGTGGGCAATTGCTCCCCACATCACTTACATACACTGATAGATGCCTGCTGTGTCACAGCACCATTCTTCTCATGATTCAAAGCAACTATAGATGTGCTGGGATGCCTGTTAGTAGCGTACTTGGGAAGAAAACAGGAATTGTGATGGGCATTTGCTAATCCAGCATTGAGTGAGGCTTGTGCTTAGTCTATAACCTCAATGGTTTTCCAGGCCTTAAATGTCCAGTGAGATATTTCCTGAGAGACTGCAGTACCTGTGGCCAGCTGGTTGCTAGACTATGGTAGGTATGTATGACCTGGAGTTGATTACAAGTGGCTGTGGGTTTAATTAAAACTTTAATGAAACTGAGTTTTGGGAGTCAATCGCAAAATGCGCACATTTCTGTGAAAGCACTCTTATGCTGTGCAGGTCATACTGATTGAGGTTGAAGTCTCCATCTAAAAAAGATCTTTCATTTGTACTTACTCCCAAGGTCAAACATTTCCAGTCCTGCCCTGTCTGTAGTAAGTACTCTTAGCCAGATATTGAACGACTGACTTGCTAAATGAGATACAGTTTGTTCAGTTTTCTCAGATGGTGTTCCGACACAGGTCTTTCCACCAAGATATGGTGTTAAATACACCTCCTGTGTCTGTTCCAACAAAAAGTGGTTACCTCACAAATTCCCAGAAATGATAGGAATGTTAGGAGGAGAATACAGATGATTTATGGGACAATCTGTGGCTTGTCTAGAGAGCTACCTTGTCATGTAAAAGTGTTGAAATTATTTGTCATCCCCTGGATATTTCAAAGGTCACCCAAGTAGGTTGAGTATATGAGCCTCCAGTCATCCAACCTCCTTCAGGACTTAAGGCTCAAGCTATGAGGTCCTTCTCTTCATTCTGTGCAGCCAAAGAGCACATTGCTTCTGATAGCAACCAAAGGGCTGTGATATCCTTCAGTTAATTTGAGATTAATTTTTAGAATGGATGTCCAGATTCCTGAGGATGTCCAGTTTTATAGGAAGATATTGAGAGTGTTTTCCTTTTCTAAGTCCTTGAGTCTTGTTATTAAAAATAGTTTTCTGTTTTGCAATATTCCTTGTTATTTCTTGAGTATTGAAGCAGCACTGTCACATTTTTTTTCAAAGAGTCAATAATATGACATGTCTACTTGCATGATAGCTCCATAAGATGTGGAAAATGGGTGATTCACTTTCCGTAACCTCTTCTTTCTTGGCACCACCTACTCCTGGTCCAGACCCATGTCTGCAGCTCTTGGCAGGAGCTAAATGAATAATTTACTCCACTGGAAAATGTAGAAACTTGCAATATTTTTATTGTGTTAAAATGTAACTACAATTCCAATGCGGATTTTATGTGATTTTTTTATAAAGATTCTTTATGAATATCGTAAGAGCAATAATGATAATAACAAAGTATTTAACCCCTTGAGGACGCAGCTTCAAAAACTGGACTTACCCTTAAGGACACAAGCCATTTTTGCATTTTTTGCTGTTTGTGCTCAAACGCAAATTGCATCTTTGTCATTTATTGCACCAACACATCTTATATACCGTTTTTTTAGAGGGAAAAGGGGCTTTAATTTGATGTCACATATAGATAGATACATTCTCATTAATTATAAAAATAAAATGGAAAAAAATGGAAAAAAACAAAAAGTTTTTTTTTACAGTTTTGGCAATAATAGCGTGTGCATAATATGTCCAGCTTAGAATAAGTAATTAAAAATAAATGCATTTATGTGTCTTGATTTATAGAGTACATAATATGTATAGGATTTCAGCTTATTTTGAAAGTTACAGGTAACAAAATACAAGGACTAAAATAAAATTTCAATGTGAAACAATTTTAGAAGTTGGTATGTTTGTCTACAAGATTTAGTAGCCATCACAGAAAATAAAATTGCCATGCAAAAGTATATATTTATATAAAGTAGACATCATAGGCTATTTACCTAAGGTTAGTTTGACACTTTTTGCGTAGCCATTTCATTGCCAATCTCTGCTAAATATTGGAGAAAAATTGTGTTTTTTCTCTATTTTGGCATATACACATATAACAAGTTTTTTGTAATGTGTATTTCGTAAAGCTGGTGTGTGCTATATTCCTGCACATAACCCATATTGTGGTCACTACATCTGCTGAGTATAATGATACTCCCATTGTACGCCTTTGGCACTTTTCTGTAAAGCTACAATGCCATATAAGAGACAAGGCTATTTCAGTTTCTATAGTTGGAATTTTCATAGATGGATATGATGGGCCTAGGTCTAATTTTGGGGTATTATAGCAGTTTTACTGTTCAATTAAGCCCACAAAGGGCTTTCATTTGATAAAGCAGACACCTCGGGGTATCTTATATGGTGTATATTGTGCTTTAACTTGTCACCATTTTTTCACCAATTTATGTCACTGTTTGTGGTGAGGGGAAAAAAATTGCATTTTTACATACATTTTGCATTTTTGCTGAGTATTTCTTACACTTGATATGTACCACTGTCATAAAATCCCCCAAATAATGCTCAATTACATCTTCTGAGTAAAACAATATGCCCAATGTATGACCTAGACACTATTTTGTGAAGTTACAGTGCTGTAAAAGAGACGTGACAAGTTCAGGTTTTTAAGTGTGAATTTTCATGTTTACATAGGATTCTATTACACTTATAGTGAGACACACGGTGTAATGTAAATTCTTTTCTAAAAAAGACATTTGCATTTTGTTTGCAAGCTTGTTTGCATTACAACCTCAAATGTTTGTTAACAAAAACATCTGAAACCCACATGGGGCTGCCTCACAAAGAGCAAGCATACCTTTTAGTTTTTGTTTTCTTTTAATGAGGAATTGTCACTTTGGAGGTAATGGCATATTGTAACGAACAAATAAAGTCTCCAATTGGATTACGTTTTTGTTTGTTTTTTTTTAATCTTTCTTTTTATGCAAATTTCCCAGGCAAAACCAATGAACAAAAAAGAAGTGAGAAAGTTTTTGAACAGATCAATAGCAATTCAATATCAGTCAAGGCTGAGAGGTAACTTTGTTACTGAATTTGATGTGGCACTTTCTCATAAATAACTAAAGTTAACTATAGCTTGGTGCTATTTAAAAAACAAAAAACATTCTGTAGTCTTTGTTTTATAATTTACACTATATGCCTGGATGTCCTGTACAGATTAATTTAACCTCTGTAGTGCCATGCATTATTAAGGCACTATGGAGACAATGGCTGACAAATGTATTTATTTACTATAAAATATTATTATATTATTATTATTATTATAAAATATTTTACCAGGATGGATACATTGAGATTTTTCTCATTTTCAAGTATGTCCTGGATCCACAAAACATTGCATTGTTACAATAGGATACAATATTACAAAAATACAATATATGCAATATACAAACTATATATATATACACACAAACATACACACATATATAAATTTTATACATAACAGGATAACAGGTAATAAATATATTCAACCATGACAGATGTATTCTGTGCTGAGGTATATTGACATAGATCTCTTAAAAGATTTTTAGATTGAATTAAGATTTGACTGTGTCCTGCCAAGAGTCTTACTGGCACATGACATTACCTGGACATGGAAGTGCTGAAGAGGTAAGTGTGTTGTGTACTTACCTCTGCCACTCTACTCGGCCTAGTAAGCACTTTAGTAGCATTTACTATGACAAGGGACTATGGAAGTGTCACCATTAAAGTGAAAGTTCTGCATTTACCCAGAAAGTGCCCAATGCATTGCTCACAGGTCTGGAAACGGGTACATTTTTGATGCCCCAGGAAAAAGTTTGTGGTTAAACCAGAGATGTTTGCTGTTGGAGGTAAGCTGGCATGTAAAATGTGTTTCAGTATAACAAATTATTCTAAACTAATTACACAAGCGAATCAATTACTATAAAATGAGAAATCGCTGGCAGAGTATATATCAGACCATAATAGAGAACAAAGAATTGCAGATTAATAAAGTATAAATACATGATGTTTCACCCTTCCAATTTCAAAATAATTCTAAAAACTTGAGTAATCAAAATGCCACCCCTACTGTGGTCAGTCAGACCATAAGACAACAGTTTATTAGCCACACGCACCTTATATATCTGGACAAACAGTTACAGGGGAGATCAGCATATTTATGTACGGTGTATATTTTACCATGCAGACACAGGGTATATCTGGCTGAACAGTTATATTGTAAGTTAACTCAGTATATTTAAGAACATGGTATATTAGATCATATATGTACAGAGTATTACTGAATAAACAGTTACATGTTAGCTCAGTATATTTAAGCACAGAGTATATTAGACAATGCAGACACAGGGAATATCTGGCTAAACTGTTACATTGTAACTCAGTATATTTAATCACAGAGTATATTAGATCAAGCAGATACAAAGTAGCTCAGTATATTTCAGTACAGAGTATATTAGATCATGCAGACATGGGGTAAATCTGGATAGTTACAGGTTAGCTCAGTATATTTACGTACATAGACAGACACAGAAACATGGTATATAAGTATATTAGACAATGCAGACACAGGGTATATCTGGACAGTTTCAGTATAGCTTAGTATATTTCCATGCAGACACAGGGTATACCTGGTCAGTTTCAGTATAGCTTAGTATATTTACATGCAGATACAGGGTATACCTGGACAGTTACAGTATCGCAGACACAGGGTATACCTGGTCAGTTTCAGTATAGCTTAGTATATTTACATGCAGAGACAGGGTATATCTGGACAGTTACAGTATAGCTTAGAATATTTCCATGCAGACACAGGGTATACCTGGTCAGTTTCAGTATAGCTTAGTATATTGACATGCAGATACAGGGTATACCTGGACAGTTACAGTATCGCTTAGTATATTTCCATGCAGACACAGGGTATACCTGGTCAGTTTCAGTATAGCTTAGTATATTTACATGCAGATACAGGGTATACCTGGACAGTTACAGTATCGCAGACACAGGGTATACCTGGTCAGTTTCAGTATAGCTTAGTATATTTACATGCAGAGACAGGGTATATCTGGACAGTTACAGTATAGCTTAGAATATTTCCATGCAGACACAGGGTATACCTGGTCAGTTTCAGTATAGCTTAGTATATTGACATGCAGATACAGGGTATACCTGGACAGTTACAGTATCGCTTAGTATATTTCCATGCAGACACAGGGTATACCTGGTCAGTTTCAGTATAGCTTAGTATATTTACATGCAGATACAGGGTATACCTGGACAGTTACAGTATCGCTTAGTATATTTCCATGCAGAGACAGGGTATACCTGGACAGTTACAGTATAGCTTAGAATATTTCCATGAAGGCACAGGGTATATCTGGACAGTTAGAGTATAGCTTAGAATATTTACATGCAGACACAAGGTATACCTGGTCAGTTTCAGTATAGCTTAGTATATTTCCATGCATACAAAGGGTATATCTGGTCAGTTTCAGTATAGCTTAGTATATTTACATGCAGACACGGTATATCTGGACAGTTTCAGCATAGCTTAGTAAATTACCATGCACACACCGGGTATATCCGACTGGATAGTTCAACCGTTGCTTAGTATATTTAAGTACATAGTATATTACCATGCATGCACGTTCTACTGGACAGTTACAGTATAGCTCAGTATATTAACGTGCTGGGTATATCAGACAGATGAGTAATATAGAGAGCAGTTCCTGACCATTTCGCTAGTCTGCATTAAGTACGTGACAAAGCTCACAGGCGTTAATGTCCTGATTCCAATATCAATGAACTGTGTACAGTTTAGACACACCTTTCCCAGACACAGAATGTGGCTCACAGATTACCACCACATGTACACAACACATCTCACACACAACATGTAACACATACAGCTCACAAAACTTCAACACGCAGAGAGCACTACAATAATCCCCCCAGTGACAATAACTGACCTGGATACATTCAGGCACTCAAAGGGTCAATTAATCATAGGTTTCACAACCACATTATAGTATAATCATACAGAAATATATGCACACACTGCATTAACCCCTTCATGACTATCATAATATGTGATTGGTACTGAATGTCCTGTGTGCATTCCTGCTTGTCTGTCTGTCTATGTCTGAGTATATAGTTATATGTATACAGTGTATATAGTTTAATTGAGCTCTATGTATATAATATAACCTTGATACAGTATATAGTTTGATTTAACTATATGTATATAATATAACTTTTATACAGTATATAGTTTAATTGAGCTATGTGTATATAATATAACCTTTATACAGTATATAGTTTAATTGAGCTATGTGTATATAATATAACCTTTATACAGTATATAGTTTAATTGAGCTATGTGTATATAATATAACCTTTATACAGTATATAGTTTAATTGAGCTATGTGTATATAATATAACCTTCATACAGTATATAGTTTAATTGAGCTATGTGTATATAATATAACCTTCATACAGTATATAGTTTAATTGAGCTATGTGTATATAATATAACCTTTATACAGTATATAGTTTAATTGAGCTATGTGTATATAATATAACATTCATACTGTATATAATTTAATTGAGCTATGTGTATGTAATATAACCTTTTACAATTTTACAATGTAACTTTTATACAGTAATATTTCAGTACATAGTACATTAGACCATGCAAACAGCTATATTCAACTATCTGAATACAGTGTAACATTTAGGACATCATAGAATTTAATTCAGATATATGAATCCAGCGTAACATTTAGGACATCATAGAATTTAATTCAGATATATGAATCCAGCGTAACATTTAGCACATTATAGAATTTAATTCAGATATATGAATACAGTGTAACATTTCGCACATTATAGAATTTAAGTCAGATATATGAATACAGTGTATTATTTAAGAGCATATAGATAGTCCAGTTATATGTGTGCATTGTATCCTTTGCAAATTCCCCAGTCACTATAATCACTGTATGGACTTTCCTCTCACTTACCCACAGGATGTGACTGGTGGGTTAGGAGTTCTTCAAGGCAACTTTGTAATAAAAGTATCGCTGTAAGCCTTCACATTGACATGGCCTGCACACACTGCTCTCTACGTCGAGTTACATACACGCTGATGTACTAAGCTGCATCGCCTGGAATCTGGCTGCAAACATCTCAACTGAATTCATTAGAAGTAACAGTACTGTGAATCAACAGGCAGGGCAGCGCTCATTGGTGGAAGGAGCCTGGGGTGGAAGGAGCCTTGTGTCTCCCATTGGCTTTTTTCAGCAGTCTATCACTGAGCCTGTACATTCCACGTGTACGGTTACCCCTGGTGACCGATATTAGGTACTGCAGGTTCCATAAGGAATAAGTAGAATCCTGAGCACAGTCTGCAGGATGGGAAGTGAGTGACGTGGTTTGCTAATAGAGAGCTGGGGGAATCCTGCTATCTGTAAATGTAATGACGTCACTCTTCATCCAGCTGTGTGCTGTGCTGCAAGGTGTTAATGTGTGTTCTGCATGTTTAACATACAATAAACAAAAACACAAAAGCAAAATACATGAAATATACATTAGAAATGTTATTCATAGTGAATGTTAAATTTAAGGCCAAAGTAGCTGAGCTGGACTCACACCTGAATTAGAGGATTTTTACATTTTGGCTATTCTGACCTTAATTTAGAAACTCACTTGAATTTTCTCATTTTAGTGAATAACCCTACTAGTCTTGAACCTCTCACTATTACATTTCTTATAAAAGTACTCACTAAAAATGAATTGCTTTGAATTCAAAAGTTTAGAAATGTAAGTAAAACTAGTTGATTTAGAAACGTTCTCCAAATCATGTTTGCTGTTGGTATCGCAGTGTCTGGTGAATATACATCAAAAATGTATGTGGACATCTTTCTTCACATGCAGAATACGCAGGTTTATGTTGTGATGGATGGAGAGAAGGACTGGCAGGCAAATAGATGGATAGATTTTTTTTTTTTTTTTAAATTCCATCGTGTTTTCATATCATTATTAGCTGACACGTTGTCATAATGTGACATATTTTATTAAGGATTGGAACAATACAACTGTGTATGTGTCCGCTGCCTTACATTTCCCGCAAGTAATTGCAGTATCGATTCAGTGTTATTTTACCTTCCTATTTTTCTATTAAAGATTTTACTACTTATTGTAACTGTCTACTTGTTTCTATTTCCTATTAATACATTTCTAAATAAAAATAATATTAAAAAAAACCTTCATTTAGGAAATGTACCAGTTAAGACGAAAAATATGAAAATTAATATTTTCTGAAAAATGTATAACGGCATTGCCATTTTTTCTATAAACATTATAGTGTACCAGGTAAGAAAATGAGAAAACTAAGATTATGAAATACAGGGTAGAATAGTAAGTAGGAGATAGATCAATGTTTGAATACAGTTTGAGAAAATGACCATAATGTAATATCTCCTCTCCTAACCTAGTTTTATCCAGTACTTAATAATTCCTTTAATACATTGTCCTTATCCAGGGATTTTAGAATAATTATGGATGTCTCCTAAAACTGATTCTAATTCAAAAGGTATCATGAAGTCGTCTGATTTCTCTCGTTGCTATGGTTTATGAAATCCACTAACAAAACAGAACTAAGATGCAAGCCCATATCTGCTATCAGAAATGCTTCCCATCATCTCACAGATTTAGAAAATCACCTATAATTCTCGATGGTTAAAGGGACGCTATAGTCACCCAGACCACTTCAGCTCAATGAAGTGGTCTGGGTGCCAGGTCCCCCAGGTTTTAAGCCTTCAGATGTAAACATAGCAGTTTCAGAGAAATTACATTGCAGGGTTAATCCAACCTCTAGTGGCTGTCTTCCTGACAGCCACTAGAGGCGCTTCTGCGACGCTGGATGCAAAAATCGCATCCAGCGTGCAGAACGTCCATAGGAAAGCATTGGGAAATGCTTTCCTATGGACTGTTTGAATGCGCGTGCGGCTCTTGCCACGCATTCCGCTCCACTCGGGAGCTGACGGCAGGGGAGGAGAGGTCACCAGCGCCGGGCTCCCTCCAGGTGCACCTCCAGCGGTCCTGTGTGTGTTTTTAGCTCTGGTCGTGGAGTGCCGCAGTATTGATCGCGCCCGCCGACCGCAGCCTCTCCACGTGCCCGCTGGCCGCGACCAGCTCAATCCGTAGACCGCGTGTGTCCGCCGGGTGGAGGAGGGAGCGCTTACGCATGCCCCCTCCCCCACCTGTTAAATTAGTACCCGGAAGCCGCCAGAGGCTTGTTCTCCCCATCGGGGAGCCAGGAATCACTTTAGACCGTGGTGTGAGGCCCTTTTCTAGCTGGCGGTCTGGGAGTATTCCCTCCCCCCTGCATCAGGCCTAGATTTCTATGGCCTTCAGTTTATTTTAGTATATGCATTATTTTTCATGTAGTTGTTCATTGGTGGACAGTTGGGGGTGCCCCACACAGGGTATTACTCCAAACTTCATACACTCGTTTTCAAGGGGAGTTTGAACCCTGCATGAAAACATCTGTTTTCTTAACACTAAGGGCCCCTGGACCTATATTTACAGAGGGGAACCTTTCAATGCTGGGACCCTTAATGCTACCATATACATTTATAAGTGACTTGGCCTGCTCTGTCTGTGCCACATTGCCTGCACTGAACTGGGATTGCAGCCTGGATACACCAATGACCAGGGGCTGCAGGACATTTGGGTAATGCCAGATTTCTTATTTAGTGCTCTTAACACACTTTTGCTCTACCAGGGAGGCTCGGTGTATCGAGTTAGGTTTGCACCTATTCCCCCAGGAGTCTATAGAGATATATATATTTAAGGGGGCTCTACCCACGCAGACTGGTCTCTTGCAGCTGTCCGAACACAACACCTGTGATGGGCCTGCTATGTGTGTGCCCCATTGATTGGCCTGCTATGTCTGTGCCCCATTGATTGGCATGCTATGTCTGTGCCTTTTGACCGACCCGCCCTGACGTTGGTCGGTACCTGGACCCTCTTTTGGCTGCAGGCCTAGGAGAATATTACTGAGGAGTTCCAAATTACCCACTAATGACACGGAGATAGGGGGGTGTCCGGGTAAGCACTGCTATCATACTATTGAGGTGACGCCAGGTACACCTAAGTATTCTTGGAGGGGTGAAGGCCCTAAACCGTATGCCCAAGAGGCAAGGTTTCTACATAAATCCCGGACGGGCAGCCACGGCTCGCACCAGCCATGCGGCGGCACATCTCCACGGAAAGTTTAGTTGGATGCATGTACAGGGACCAGTGCTCAAACGACAACAGGGGAACACGGTAATTCTTTGACTTTAGCAACGAATCCTTTAGCTGCAGATACGGTATCCACTTGGGGTCTAGGTCGTTTATTTCTACGTCATGCTTAGCTCTTGGCCCTTTCAGTTGGGTTTACCTGTCTTCTACCTTTCCTATCTGTCATTTAACTTCCCCCGAGGTACGTATTTTCCTTTTTCTATACTTATACTTCTCTATACTAAGACTGTTATGTCTTTGTTTTCGTGTCTCTCCTTTTTTCCTATCGCTCGGGTCGTCGAGAGGCCTGACTTGGCCTCCTCCAACTTCCCGGGCTCTCATGGATCATGAAGAACATCTCCAGCATTTCCCCAGACTACCGGCGGCCATCCAGAATTCCGCGCACTTGCGCAGGATCCAAGCGGCGGTCTGTAGGTTCCATAATTTTTTTCTAACTATTGCAGTTTTCTCAGCTTGTCCCCATTATTAGACCCTGGGATACGGCCCCAGGCTGGAGTATACTCCAACTGTTACCAGGATTTTTATCTTCAATTGTATACACCTCTCAGGTGCCTGAGGCAGAGAGTTATTTCTGGATCGGAGGGGAATGCCTCTCAGGACATCGGCCCAACTCGTCTAGTTTTAGAGGGTGAGCTTCCCGCTTACTATCAGTCTGGAACTGAGAGGGACTCTTGTTTGCATGAAAAGAGGGTGCGGCCCTTTCATGACCTCAGCCGAGATCGAAAGCTGATGTGCAGGATTAGAGGGGACCATTTCTGTTTTACAGGACCCTTCACTATATTGCCATTGGAGGGCGCAACCCTCCCCTAACCTCGGCCCAAGGCTGATATGGATACAATTGCAGGTGGGTAGTGTGTCCCACACTCATATTCGGAGCCAGGCACTGTCATAGACCCTACTGTTAGAGGAGATGACCCTCTCCCTATGACAGTTTACAGTATTTGAGAGTGCGGCTCTCTCATACACTCTACCCGCTACTGAGCTCCCCTAATGACACGGACCAGGATAACCACTTATAGTGTATCCTCAATTACCGCTGGCATGGCACTTTCTAGGGTACTGGATTCTGCTGCCCCTCCTTGAGAACAAACACGGCATTTGACACTACCCTACAGGGTTTTTAGCCTACTGTCGACCCTTTTCACCCTACGGACGTATACCAGTACACGACCCAGTGCCTTCATAGAAGAACGTCCCGCCTATAGTTACATTTCGGAGATCTGTGTTACCTAACGTGATTTGCCGCTGATACTGCATCTCTTGCATTACGGACTATGACTACCTCATCGAAATAACGAGGAGACGCTGCTTAGTGGCGACTGGTGAGAGAAGAGTATCCCTCCATTAAATCTAACGACTGTGCTCCTATTTTTGTTATAGAGTTGCTGCCTGGTCTAGCAGGGTAGTCCATGTTTACTCTAGCCTTCACTGTTACATCCCCTAGGATTGGTTCGCTGGACCATGCCTCTATATCACCACCCGGGATGTACTCACTATGGTATTATGGAGGGAGATTCCTTAGTTCATTTAAACGCTCCCCTGTTGCATTATTGGACAGGGTAGAGACTGTTTGGAACTGGCTGTCTCGGTACAGCTCCTAGGATTGGCACATTTTATGGGTATCCTATACCTCCCTGTTGGATTTACTCCGGGAGTTTGTACGTCTGATGGGGGAACCCCAACTATTACAAGTGTGTAGGTTTTGGCATAACCGGTGTTAGCCGAACAAGCAAACACACCCTGGTTAGGTTTTCACACACCATTTTGGACACACTGTCAAGACAATTTTTCCCCCCTTGTCAAGGGTAGCATGTGATTTGAGGCCTTCATGGAACATACAGCTACTGCCTTTACTCAGACAACGGAAATAGGGAAGCCCCGCACCCCGGTCTACAGACACGGCGTACGCACTGGTCAAGACCAGAGTCCCGGACGATTTTGGGCTCCCTGATGGTTGGCGGTCCTGGGATAGGTGACAGGACTGCCCCTACTCCTCCAAGAACATATTTAGAGAACATGATTCGGATATGGAGGACCCTCCTTCTATACACTAATTCCCTCACGGGAACCGTCTTGAGTTTTGAGTTTCACTCACCCATCTATTGAGGTGCTGTCAAGGAGGACTGTTCGGACTCTAGGGGAACCCTAGTAGATAAGAGGAGTGAGACAGCGCTTAATAACTATAGGCAGCAACCTTAAAAAGGGAATCCCTCAGACCCTTATAAAACAAGATAAAACAAAAAGCAATAAAAGGCTGCGCACACTAAATAAAATCCAATAAAAGAAAAGACAGTCCAACTGGTATATTCTTATAGGTGTCCTTGGTCTTCTATTTTTGTGGTGGTTTCACTTGTTATGAAAAATAAAAAGAGGGAAAAAGGACATCCAATGGTGTAGTATGTAAAATTCAAGTATAGACGTAAAAAATAATAGTATAAAACTCACATTTACCAGAGCTAATGTCCAGCTCTGGAGTAAAGCGCGTACAGCGGTTTAATCCCCGCTTATGGGATATAAGGCAGGTTCCTCTCCGTGAATGGTGTCCAATTCTCGGGATAAAACAAACAGCCAATAGTGCTCACTGAATGACAGATAATAATAAAATAATAAAAGAAATGTACTTACAAAGTAAGAGCAGACCCACTGCTCTTTGATGATAGCTTGGGTGGTTTGATCCCCACCTTTGGATTTCTTTGGGTACAGGAAACTTCCAGGAATTTTTAGGTTTTAAAACCAATAAAAAATAATTAAAATAATTTTAAAAAAAGGCCAGGGTAAAAAAAAGGAGGATATGTGTCTATAAAAAAGATAATTGGCACAAACAAATGACCAAAAATACTTTAATATATATATAAAACACAATATTCAATTATCCATAACGCGTTTCGTCACAAAGGGACTTTTTCAAATGGAGTAACATGGTTTACCTGGCACATAGAAGTTATATAAGAGCATAATTAATTGAATTTTGGCGCCAAAACTTGATTCAACCAATCAGAATTGAAAACATATTCTTGGCATTTAAAATACAAATTAACTTATTTTGCACATACTTTATAGTAATACATCTCATTTAAAATATATTTTGATTTAAAACGAAGGTGAGAAATATGATTTTGAACAAATTAAAGAAAGTCACGTGACCGGCGGCACTTCCGCATTTCGGAAGTTGCCGCCGCACGGACGCATGGGAGTTGTAGTTTCGAGCGGCGAGAATTACAAAAATCATATTAACATAGTTTGTAGGGGTTCCCAAGTTAGTGTGGTATGGCAACAAAGGTTAAAACATATAAACGAAGGGGCTAGCTGTCTGAAATTGAGCATTTGCAAATGGTCATGTGACTTTCGGCAATGATAGCCGAAATACCTTATGGGAAATGAAGTTTCACTTGCAACATGTGAATTGATAGTAGGAAACACCAAATGCAACATTTTACATAAAAATGTTAAAACAAATCCATATTATATTGAAAAAGGAAAAGACAATGCAAATAGAAAGGGTAATATAAGAATATAGGAATAAATTATATTAAAATCATAATTTAAAGGTATTTAAAAATGGTCACGTGACTTTCGGCAATAATACCCGAAATACCTTATGGGAAATGAAGTTTCACTTACAACATATGAATTAATAGTAGGAAACACCAAATACAACACTATTATAAATGCAAATATTAAAACAATTCATATTATGTTAAAAAAAAGGAAAAGACAATGCAAATAGAAAAGCTAATTTAAGAATATGGGAATAAATTATATTAAAACCATAATTTAAAGGTACAGACATAAAAATTCATAAAAAATTGTGTAAATCAAAATCTGCATTCAGGCCATGGGGTATAAGAGTCTGAAGTTTATACACCCATTCCATGTCTATTTTTCCAAGTAGCTTTTTTGTGTCACCTCCTCGCCAAGAGGTAGAACATTTTTTAATACCGATACATTTTAATAAACGGGGATCTTTATTGTGCATAATAAAATGTTTGGATACTGTATGATTTAAGTATCCATTTTTAATATTTCTGCAATGTTCGCTCAATCTTATCTTTAGGCACCTTGTGGTCATCCCCACATATTGGAGGCCACATGGGCACTCGAGCAGATAGATAACATTTTTCGTATGGCAGCTTATAAAATCATAAATATCATACACTTTTTTAGTTTGGTTTGACATAAATTTTGTGGTTTTTGATGAAATAGCATGGTCTACAGTTTTAAATACAATGCATTGTTTACATCTAAAAAAACCTTTTGTCTGAGGAAAGAATGATACATTTTTTAGAGGGGATTTTTTTGTAAAATTTGTAGTTAAAATAGATTTAAAATTAGGTGCTCCTCTAAAAACAATATTTGGATGAGTAGGTATGATTGATTTGAGTATCTCATCATGTTTAAGTATGTGCCAGTGTTTTCTTATTATTTTTTTAACATCATTGCTTTTATTATTAAAATTAAAAATAACTGGAAGTGGCATAGTTTCATTATTTTCTTTATTTTTATATGTCAGAAGATCTTTTCGTTCTTTTTGTTTGACTGTATTAATTGTGGTATTCAGATCTGATTCTGAATAATTTTTTATTATTTTTATTATCTGTCATTCAGTGAGCACTATTGGCTGTTTGTTTTATCCCGAGAATTGGACACCATTCACGGAGAGGAACCTGCCTTATATCCCATAAACGGGGATTAAACCGCTGTACGCGCTTTACTCCAGAGCTGGACATTAGCTCTGGTAAATGTGAGTTTTATACTATTATTTTTTACGTCTATACTTGAATTTTACATACTACACCATTGGATGTCCTTTTTCCCTCTTTTTATTTTTCATAACAGGTAAAACCACCACAAAAATAGAAGACCAAGGATACCTATAAGAATATACCAGTTGGACTGTCTTTTCTTTTATTGGATTTTATTTAGTGTGCGCAGCCTTTTATTGCTTTTTGTTTTATCTAGGGGAACCCTGTCTAACGTCGAATCGCACACGAACGTCACAAAGTCGGGATGCACCCTCCCACTGAAGTACTACCCAGGAACCGGGTAGGGTTCGAATCTGTCTACCCGACCTTCTCCAACTGGACAGCCTCTACTTCGGACAGGGGAAGCTATTTCTATTCGGACGGGTCTTGCTATATCTATTATCCAGAGTCAGCTGTCCTTAGCAAAGGGATTTACCGTTTTATCTACGTATTTTTACCAGCATAATTGTTTCCTTCCCGGATTAGTCCACTTGACTGGTAGATCATGAGGGAACGAAAAGACCCTATTTGGTTCTGGGACGGAATTGGTGATGGACTCAGACGCCTTATATGAGGTTGGAAATTTGCCTACAAGGCCACATCACCTGGTGATTCTGGCACGATCGAAGAAGCCATCTCCCACATAAAAGGTCGAGACCTGGTGGCAGTTTTTCCCACAATCCTACATCCACGGATGACCTTCGGTAGTTTACACCTACGGGGAAATGGCTAATAGGTCAGCTTTGCAGTTCATGGACGTCTGCTAGGAAACAGGTTGCATCCCCACGTGCTGTGGATCTATCAGCGGATGGAGTGTTTCCGTATTTTGTGGTACATCGACAGCTGGCATCTTCATCGATCCGTCTACTGTCACTTCTCGCAGTTGGAAGGTCCATTTGGGATTGATCTAGTATCTCACACTGGGTGACTACATATTTTGTTCAGCGTACATTTAATTGGCTAACCAATCTTTTCGATTCTTTTTTTTTTCTCGTTTCAGTTTATGATCCATCAACTCTATCTGGTTTGGCTGTTCTTTTCGAATGGTGGATATTGTTGTATTCATTGTATCTAGGACTTCGCCTTTTGTTATATTTTGTCGTAACTTGAAAGAGGAAATTATGTATGGGGAGGGGAGTTTTATAGTACCTAACTTTTTTCTGATTGGTTGTTTTTTTCTGTGCTGCTGTGGAGTTCTAGTAAAGAGAGACTTAAGCAAATACTCACCTCCTGTCATTAATAAAATTAAGATTACAGGTACACTAAAGCTAGCATAATCTATACTTTTTGTTCATTACACTGTATCATAAAAACTCCAGCATTCAAACAGTATGTGCTGGGATCTGTTAATGATTCACAACTTAAACATTTGTATATGTAATTTTATGTAGTTTATCCGAGAAAGCTTGCCCAGTCTTCCTGATTTCTAAGAGATATTGTGATGCTAAACACTTTACCACTGTTTCCCAGTATCCTCATGTCAACCAATTCTGCTTGCTACAATGTGTCAATCTGCCATGATCTGGCTAATTAGAGTCCTATGGCCCACACTTTGTCTCCTAGCTGGGATAGTAATGTTAACCAGGATTACCAGGAAGTTTCAAGTCTCTGCAAATCCAAAACCTTTTAACTCCAGTAGGACACGGATGGAGAATGAAGAACCCTTTTGGAGTTTCAAGGAAATTAGCAAATTATCCACAACCTACCTGACACATCAATTGGTTGGACCGTTGCCAAGTGCTATTGTGACAATAGATGCGGCTAGATTTGATTTTTAATTCACGGTAAAAGAAGTTGTGGAATCCAGTTTTCATCCACTGAAGAGAAATAATATCATATTTTACAGTTTGTCTCCACAGTTAGCCCTTGAAATGCATAAGAATATATACAAGTGTAAATGCATTCTGAAACGTCTGAGGCCTATGTCTATTGCATATGGGTCAGTGCAAGAACTTAGCGAAGTATCTGTGTCTATTGCCCAAGAAATACAGATTAGGCAACAGCACACATACACACAAAAAAAAAATTGAATCTGTATTTTGTATATATTTTTGTCTTTACGGTAGCACCACTACTGACAAATGCATGTTCCAGGTGTGACTTCCAATTCCCCCTTTTTCTATGACCTGTGGAGTATGGAGAGGGACATCTAGATTTGCCAAATTTATACCAAAATGTATCAGTTTAACGAACTGCAAATAATCATCTTGGCAGTTTTCTAAAGATAGAAAGCCGAAAAAGATATATTGTTTCTGTTTTGCATTTCTTTGCTTCTATGTAAAACACTAAACCAGAAAACAAATAGTGAATAATTTCATTTTTCTTTGTCATGATTTCTAAAACCATTCTCACACATCTACCTTTACCTGTCTTTCAAACGATTCAGGAGAAAAAGATCAAGTGAATATTAGTAATCCCAATGAGGCAAAACATATGCGTTCTTTACGCTACCCATGGCAACAGATAATCGCCGGTGACTGCTTGATGAAGATGTGCTCTTTATATTGCGTCTTAAATTGCAGTCTGTACCTGATGGCACCTGACCAGTAAAACAGTTTTCTAAATGCAAACTGATGCAAAAACAAACCGCATTATTTTTATTCTTACATTACCAATTATATCTGAAAATATGGATTTTTTTAAAAGGCTTCTTTGGTATCTTAATATAATGATCTTTAAATTATACATACGTTTACTTGCATTGATTACTATGCTCGATCCACCAGTCACCAGTTCCTCTAGGATAGGGATGGGGGGGCAGAGGAAGAGGTAGGCAACCTGTGGCACTCCAGATGTTGTAGACTACATCTCCCATAATGCTCTTACAACCATAATGCTGGCAAAGGATCAGGGGAGAATGCAGTCCAAATCAGTGATGAAGGCTGCCTATCCCTGCTCTAGGAAGCTCTTCTTTTTATTTATTTTTTTTATTTTATTTTTGGATTGACAGTTGGTACATTGCATATCAATAGTGAGAGCAGACATAGATCAGTGATCACACTTTAAAGTTAAATATCAGAATAATAGTAAGCAGCAGGAAATGTCTATGTGTCATATTTCAGTTGTCCATGTCTTCTGAAGCAAATTTGAACACAAGCTGTCATAGATATGTATTTTTTAAATGAGCAGAACAAAAACCTCTTAAGTAAGTAGAAAGAAGAGAGAATTACAACATGTGCATTATATGCCCTGCTTCGGGAGTAGAGCTATGTAAAGGACTTAGCTCAGCGTACCATGAATAGTGGAAATATAGGATGATAGCGGGGAACAAGGGTGCTTGAAAAGGGGTTTACGTGGGGTGGGCAGAGTCGTAGTTGGGCAGGAGCTAGATGTTATTCCCATGTTTGGATGTTATATTTAGTGATGGGATAAATAGACCCAGAGGAGTGCAACTCCTTTATTCTGTACTGTGGGGAAGGGTCAGTAGTAGGGAGGCGAGAGAGAGGCTGGCGTCATTGACCGGACACTGAGAGCAGATAGCCCTCTTTCCCCATCTCTCGTGTCAGTTAGCTACATCACTGTTGATCCATTGCTTCCATATTCTGTCAAAAGACTTTGTTGTACCCAGGGGCGTATTAGCCGCGAGGCAAACAAGGCATTTGCCTTGGGCGGCATTTTTCAGGGGGCGGCAAAAAACGCCGCCCCCCAAATGCCCAGGGCAAATGCCTTGTTAGCCTTGCGGCTAACAGACATCCCGAGCGGGCGGGCGGACGGGCGGCGCTGGCAGGCGGGCGGCTGGCGAGGGAGCACTTCCTCTGAGCTGACTGCTCAGCTCCCTCGCGCACCGCAAAGTGAGACTGGGAGCCGGAAGATGATGTCATATTCCGGCTCCCAGCCTCACTCTGCAGCCGGCGCGCGAGGGAGCTGAGCTGACAGCTCAGAGGAAGTGCTCCCTCGCCAGCCGCCCGCCTGTCAGCCCGACCTGCAGCCACTGGACCACCAGGGAGAGAGACCCCCCCCCAGCACTCCCAAAGGTAAGGAGGTTGGGGGGGGATTTAAATTAAAAAAAAAGTTAATGTGTGTTTGTGTCTGACTGTGTGTGTGACTGTGTGTGTGTTTGTCTGACTGTGTATGTGTCTGACTCTGTGTGTGTCTGACTGTGTTTGTGTATGTGTGTGTGTGTTTGTGTCTGACTGTGTTTGTGAGTGTGTCTGTTTGTGTATGTGTCTGACTGTGTGTGTGTTTGTGTCTGACTCTGTGTGTATCTGACTGTGTTTGTGAGTGTGTGTGTGTTTGTGTCTGACTGTGTGTCTGACTGTGTGTGTGTTTGTCTGACTGTGTTTGTGTCTGTGTATGTGTCTGACTGTGTGTGTGTTTGTGTCTGACTCTGTGTGTGTCTGACTGTGTTTGTGAGTGTGTGTGTGTTTGTATCTGACTGTGTTTGTGAGTGTGTGTGTTTGTGTCTGACTCTGTTTGTCTGTTTGTGTATGTGTGTGTGTGTTTGTGTCTGACTGTGTTTGTGTATGTGTTTGTGTGTGTGTGTGTCTGACTGTGTGTTTGTGTCTGACTGTGTGTGTGTATTTAGAAGGTGGGGCGGGGGGAAGGGTTGGGTGGGGGTGGTGCAGGGGCAGGGGGGCGCCTGAGTTTTGTCCTGCCTAGGGCAGCACAAAACCAGGATACACCACTGGTTGTACCCCTGACCAAGGCTGTCAATTTGTAGGAAGCTCTTCTTATTGGCGTTTTTAGCCTTGCTATACATTTTAGCATTGGCTAGGAAAGTGTACAGACAAGACCTGACTCAGACAGACTATATTAACCTTCTAGTTGTTTGGGTTAAACATTTGAAGGTATCAGAAATTTTGGATAAGCTTCTTCATTATCTACTACCAAATCAGGCAAGGGTGGAAAACTTACTTAAACGAACACTTCAATTAAAAAAAAAGGATATATTTTTTTAATTGGAGCATTCCTAATATGTTTAAATTACCCCCAAATTTGGCATCAATAGCATTAAAATCACTAATAAACTCACATCTCACATTTATCCCAGTGCCAGGAGAATCTCGTGGTAGCTCTGATCCTCCTCCTGGGAATTAATCATTGCTGATGACGTGTGTCCAATCAGAGGCTTCTCATAGACAAGCATTAGGACACACAGAGTAAAAAAATTTTTAGTATAAGCTAGTGAAGAGAAGGATATTTTGGTGCACTACCGAAAAAGCAGAAAAAGAATGAATGTACAAAGTACAAAGAAGTTTTATACACAAACCCCACTGTATCTTTTCTCTCTTTTCTCACTTTACAGCCATCAAAACTATCTCTTGTAACACCTAAACACTATTGAATGAACAAAAAGAAGGCTGAGCCTCCAAAACACTTGAAGATTTAAAGGGATACTCTAAGTACCAAAACAGCTTTAGCTTAATTAAGCAGTTTTGGTGTATAGATCATGCTCTGCAGTCTCGCTGCTCAATTCTCTGCCATTTATGCGTTAAATCACTTTGTTCCTATTTATGCAGCCCTGGCAACACATCCCCAGACTGTGACTGACATAGCCTGCATGAAAAAAATAGTTTGATTTTCAGTCAAACGTGACAACACAGCATGTTTACTTTCAAAGTGCCTGTCTCCTGCTTTGTAAATCAAACTTAATTAAGTTAAGTTTAATTAATCAGACACATGATCAAATGATTTAATCAAATAAGCCTAATAAGGCTCTAGCAGGCTTTTAACAGAGTATGGGATAAGAAATTCTGAATTAAATAGGCTGTGCAATAAAATCAGTTTAACCCCTTAAGGACCAATCTTCTGGAATAAAAGGGAATCCTGACATGTCACACCAGTCATGTGTCCTTAAGGGGTTAAACATTAGAGCTCTGCAGTAAAGGCAACGTAAACAGATGTCATCAATGTCCATATTATATTATATATCTTGATGCAAGATAGAGCCTCCAAGCCCATTAAAATAATACAGAGGCCCTACTAGAGCAAAGTGCTACATTAGAAAATGTAGTTTATTGCTTTCTATTGTGATTGCTCCTTATTAGCACTTTGAGCAGAATAGTACCTGGTTTGACCCTATTGACATTGTCCAGTATCTCTGATACATTACTTGCTATATGATCACACAGACCATCAATGTAGCCATATCTATTCACTGCTTCCACATGTGATCTGTCTGCTGTTTGGGTACACCTGGAAGAGACCATAAAAGAGGAGAAAGACTTATCTGAAGCTCAGTGGTTGCTGTAGACTTTGTAAGGCCTTATGTGCAACTCAAACTTGAGGCCCACACTAGCACACAAAGTGAAAAATATAGGGGTTGCATTGTGTGTATAAGGAGTTGTAGTTATATTGAAGGACAAGCTTGCAGTGCTGGATACAGAGAGCTAGTCTCTGTATTCAGCATTCAGAGCCTTGCAGTGTCACGGCTCCCTGTACCGCTGTGTTGTAAGCTCTCTGACTGTAGTTATGGCATAATTTGCAATTAACAGATTTAATTTGCAATTCTGCAAATCGTTTATACATGATTGTCGGGTTATTGGAAACAAATGTGAAACTTTTGGGTGAGCAAAAAGGCATTAAAAAAATAATTTACCATATGATAAAGTTACAGATAACAAAACAGTGTCAATAACATTTACCCCAAATAGTCTATAATCCTTTCATATATACTATGCTACAAAATGTATATATGTTGCCCCTTGTATATATTTGTATATTATATGTGTTGCGACTTTACCTTTGAATTGTCTATACCAAGCATGTCAAACGCTGCCCACAAAGACCATCTTTGCGGCCCGGCGAGCCATGAGTACATGCTGCTGTTATAGCAGAGTAGGCACCTGCTTTCCCCAAATTGCAGGTGCCTACTCTGCTCATTTACCCGACCGGGAAGGAGAGGTTCCTGATGGCCAGCGAGGGAGCTCAGCCTGCCTGCTCCTCACTGCTTCCTCGTGAGCACCGTCTGAAGTGAAGCCGGGCGTCACTAAACCGCGCGAGGGAGCAGTGAGGAGCAGGAAGGAGATCTCCATACAGAAGTTCCCCACACCAGCTCCATAAGGTAAGGAGCAATAAATAAAAGTATGTGTGTGTAAGTGTGTGTGTCTGTCTGTGTGTGTGTGTCAGCAAGTATGTGTGTGTCTGTCAGTGTGTCTGTGTGTGTGTCTGTCAGTGTGTCTGTATGTGTGTCTGTCTGTGAGTATGATGAATGTCTTCAACTTATGACTGTGACAGGAAAAGTAACTGGGTAGCTGTGGCAATTCACATCTTTCATATTATGTGCACCCACACTTATCATATATAATTTTGTTCAGGAGAAACAGGGCTTTCATGTCACATCAAATATAATTTAATATGAATAAAATATAAAACAAATTGGGAAATTTTTTATTTTTTTATTTTATAAGTTCTGCATGACATTCTACCTGTGAATGTCACAATACTGTTAGCTGTTACTTCAATAAAATACACATATTTGTAATCAGCAATGTCTCACGAGTAAAACAGTACCCCCAATGTACAGGTTTTAGGGTGTTTTGGAAAGTTACAGGGTCAAATATAGCACATTACGTTTTTCAGTTTATACACATTGAAATGTGCCAGACTGGCTATGTTGCCTTTGAGAGCATATGGTAGCCCAGGAATGAGAATTACCCCCATGATGGCATACCATTTGCAAACGTAGATAACTCAAGGTATTACAAATGGGGTATGTCCAGTCTTTTTAAGTAGCCACTTAGTCACAAACTAGTCATTTACTGGTCAATATGTGTCTGCTAGAGATGGGCTTTGTGATAGGATCCAGAAAGGACAGATATATAGGCCGCAATTTAATATTGTTGGGTAAGCTTTTCAAATGATTTAATATTTTTAGATAAACTTTTTTTTAATTGAAATATAAAAAAATATATAATATATCAAAATGTATCAATAAATCAAAAACTATAAAAATGTTACAAAATTTAAATATTTTTCATAAAATTAAATAATTTAAAATGTTTTTTTCCAAAAATATTAAATCATTTGGGTGTATCCAGCAATAACAAATTCAAGCTATAATTAAATAAGAGGGGGAGGGGCCGGGCGGCAATGCCAGCAGGCTGCAAGTCACTAGGGCTCCTGGAGAAACAAACTATTTTTGGGTAAATACCCACCTTATCCTGCTTGTACCACCCTGGGGGTCCATGATACAAGGCTCTGGAGTGTCCCAGTGCAGCTGGAGCACCTGATATCGGGTGGTTCTGGGTCCTGGTGAGAGGCTTAAAGACTACCACTAACCTGGTGCCTTCTTGGTCCTTTGGACCGGCGGGGGGGTTATCCTGGGCCCCACCAGGCAAGCTACCACCTTTACATCTCACCTGGGCAGCTCGACGTCGTAGGTGGAAGGCTCCCAAGCGGTCTCACTAAAATGGACAATGGTGACGCAACTCCACTGGCTGAGAAGGTGAACCCTGTGTGACATGACAATGCGGTGCTAAGGTATCACACAGCCCGAGCTGAAACCGTGGGAGGTCCATGAAGACTCTCGACACCCCACGTAAACAACCCTGGAACATGCTCGATGACAGGCAAGAACCATTGCAGCTTGCATTTACTACACCTGCCCATAACGCAGCAGCAATCACCTGAAGCGAACTCTGGGCCTACTCTGACTGAGCATGCCTCACCAACGAATCCAGTGACCTATACTGGGAGAAGGCACGGAGAAATCATCCCCATGCACCAACCTCACTGTGCTACAGCCCGCACCTGAGTACTAAGGCTTGCACGGCACCGCGCCCAAACTCATCCAGCAACCGGGAAGCTTGTTGGCGGAGGTCAGCGGACACTGCGCCCTATGGCGGGACTTTGGGGCCCAGCAGATCTCTTGGGGAACTCTACAGAGACTCTCCCCATGTCTAGGCATAGGCTGCATTTCCCCTAACTCTTACTTTTCGCTCTGCCTGAGCTGGCGGTGACCCCAGCCTTTCACGTTAAGACGCACACCGTATAGTATGCTACTGATAGCCTCATCAGATGTTGCTGTAGCTGCAATTATTGATAAGCATGCATATCCTCTGTTTATTATATTATATACAGTTATTTTTTATTAAGTTTCCTACCTATTGACAGAGACATCCCAGTGTGTGATATTCTACCTGGTGGTACCTTACTTTAATAATAATCTTTGCTAAGCTAGAGACCTTACAATCTAACATAAATGTCAGTATGTAACTCAGAATTAGTACCTTGTCTGCCATAACTAGTAACTAACACGTGGTGTATCTTTTAATGCAACTACATTACCTTAAACTATAAATTGTGCTATGCCCTGATATGCCAAACAATTACTGTTAAATCATATATAACACACAAACAATAGGTGGAGCAAATAAAGGCAGAAGATAATATAAATAAAAATATACTTCCCTCTCTTCTTACTTGTAGATGTAAAGATAGAGAGATACAAAATAGTGCAGATATCCTAATACATCATAAGAAAAGGTAATATGACTGAAACACACTCACAA